TGTCATTGTCGCACAGTCCTTTCCCAGACCGGGAGCAACCGGACAGGCTGAGGCTGTGGGTTGGGGCGTCTTTGTCCTCGAGGGGCCCTTTGGTACTTTGAGCTGATCATCGTCCCCAACGACAGACAGAGCCTGCCGTGGACTCTGCCAGCTGCAGTTTTCTTTCCTGAACACGCTTTTGCATCCTCTTCCGGTTCGCCGGGGACTCCCAGTTCCAGAGGGTTCTCGGGGCATCGTCAGTCCGACACCCTCTCCCCTGCCCACCACTCCTGGGTCGAATCCACGAACAAAGCCGTCCTCCCTGGCTGCTGTGATGGACTGAGGGACCCATGCGGCCTGAGCAGGAAATGGGGGTCCTTGTGAAGTTGGTGCCTGGACATCGCAGGTGGCAGATTGTTGGCAAAGCTGGTCACAAACCCCTCCTGTGCCACATGCCCCTTTGTCATGTGACTTTGGCTGCATGCCATCAAGAGGTGGACTGTCTTCCCTGTCCCAGTGAGTCTGGGCTGGTCCTGGGGCTTGGTCTGCTCAGAAGGCTGCTGTGAGAGTTCCCAGCCTCAGCCCTACCGACTGGCTCTGCATGTTCTGTCTTCACTCCCTGAGCCCTGCTGCTCTGTGAGCAAGTCTGCTGGACCCTCCCTGAGACTGAGCCACCTCATGCGGAAAGAGACCGTGTGAAGGGGGCCCAACTGTCCAGCTGCGTTAGCCACCCCAGTGGGGCTCCTGGCATGCAAATGAGGCCCTCTGAGGGCAGCCGGCCTCCAGGGGACACCACCTGACCACGAATGCCTGATGGCACCCAGAGTTCACTGTGTGGGGCCACGCAGCTGCCCAGTCTGCTCACCCAGAGAACGGTGAGCAGAAGAACGGCCGTTCTTTTAAGCCACTAAATTTTGGGGTGTTTTGTTCCACAGCCATAGATAATTAGCACACTGGGAGGCTTTTCCTGCAGTGGGTGGCCAACTGAGAAGGCGCCAGGCCGGTGCTCCTGGAGGCTGCTGAACGGAGACACTCAAGCAGAGACAGCGAAGCAGAGGCCGGCTGGACCTCAGAGAGACAGCAGGGAGGGGGCTGGACCACGAGTCCCATTTGCGCTCCTGAATCCAGCCAAGAGGGGGCTGGTTTCCTTACTAGACTTCTTAGCTAAGCAAGTAAGAAACTTCCTTCAACATTTTTTTAAGCTAGTGCGGGTTAGACTTTTGTGACCTGCGATGGGAAGCATACGAATGGATACGCATCTGTTTCCTAGATGTGCTCTCTGTCGTTAGGTTTCAGCCAAACTGGACTGGCCCAGGGATGTCATTATCTTTAAACTTAGTTCCTCCATCTGTCAAAGTCCCCTGGTTTCTAAAAACCTAATAGGATAAGATTGCCTTATTTTATTGACAACTAATGTATTCATTCAGCAGCTCTCTATTTGGTAGTTACTATGGGCAAGAAACTGGGGTAAGTAAGTGCTGGGATGTAGCAGGCAACAGGGTGTATCCAGTGTCCCTGCCCTCCGATCCAGGCTGTTTAATCAGGACTATGTCAAATTTGAAGAAGAAAACGGACAGGGTGAGCGTGCACACACCTACTCTACAATCTGGTTGTGGGAAGCACCGGGGATCATCCGTGTGAAAACGCCTAAAAAAATTCTAGCAGAAAAATATTTATTTTCATTCATGGGCTAAGACTATAAGCCCATTTCTGAAGTATCTGCTGCCACCACTGAAAATACCTCACATGCCACCACTCGAGGCGTCTTTTCTGCTTCCAAACCTGACGTGGAAGGTAACGTTCTCCGTTGGCCAATGGGGAGTCACGGGGAACCTGCTCCAAATCCTGGGGGCGTGCAGTCAGGGGGCTGCCTCTGTCCTCACCACCCACCCTTCTTGGGGAGGTGGGAGCCTGAGTTCCTTTCCCTTTTGCCTCTCTCGCCACCAAGCTCTGGTTCTCGGCAGAGACCAAGTGCAGTCTCCAAATGCTACGCTTTAATGAGAGGAAATTCACTTGACTTCACGTACAAATTTGCCGGGGGAAGTGATTCTGATGAGGATAACCACACCCACATCTTAGTGTAAATTATCACGAACGTCTGAAACCGTGAGCAGCTGGAGAGTCCCTGTCACTCAACTCGGCTTCCGCCTTGGGGGTTCACGACCTCGTCATGATGATCTGACCTCCCCGAATTCCACCATTTACTCACGTGAGAGGTCGTGTCCGAAGAGGGTATTTCCTGCACAGACCTGTGTGCAGCCATTGGCGGAAGCCGTGGGGTGGGCTGGGTCCCGGGCATGTTGAAGAGAGGGTGTTGGTCCCCCACTCGTGGTTTCACAGTCTAGACCCAAACCACGGACCGGCCTGACCTCCCGCCCTTCCCCGTGTATCCCCACCAACAGTTTGCTGTTCTCTGAATTAGCTGTTCCCACGTCACTGACCCTTTGCTCTCCAGTCCCTCCTCCCCCGCCTCTCACTCAGATGAACTTCGAATCCCCATCTGAGATGCAGCTCACAGGCCACCACTTGGAGGCATCCGTCCTACTCATTCCAAAGCCACAGTCACTGTCTCCTCCGGGCTCCCATCACACGCTCTTCACACGTTTATTATCATGGCATTTGGTGCTTCAGTGAATGTCCAGTGGTCACGTACCAGGAACATGGAGTCCTGAAATGAATCAGTGGTCACGTACCAGGAACATGGAGTCCCGAAATGAATCAGTAATTTTCTTGTCAGGCCTCTGAGTCTGGGAGGGAAGACATTCAAGTAGAAAAAGATCACCACAGTGCAGTGACTTAACGCAGCGGCAAATCCTCCGTGAGGGTGAACACCGGCTTCCGAGGGAATCAAAAGGAAAAAACCCAGGCAGTTCCAGAGGCAGGAGCATCTCGGCCCTGTCTTAACGATGAACAGAAGTTATCCTAATGAAGAGGAGGAGGAGAAAGACTTGTGCTGACTGTCAGGGGTTTGTCTTTCCAGACAGCTTCTCAGCCTCTTGAAGGCAGACATGGGTTGCAACCAGTTTTGTTTCCCGTTCACCCAGGGCAGGTGTGCAGTAGGTGCTCAACAAATGTTTGCAGGATGAATGAACTAGACTTCACTCCAGGGAAGGTCAACTGTGTTCTTGTTTCGGGCATAGTCTCTAAGCAGGGCTGCGTAACTCAGTGAGTGAGAACATGTAATGGGACCAAGCCCAAACCTGGCAGTTTAAAGCAACAATGCATCACTTCTCATGATTCTGTGAATTGGTTGGGTGGTTCTTCTGTAACTTCCTCGTGGATTCACTCACATGGCTACATTCTGGGGGAGGGTCGCCTGGATTTGGGCTCCGCCTCTTCATGGGGACATCCATTCTCTAGGAGGCGGGGCTGGGCGTCCTGCCCAATGCTGACGTCACCGGGCTAAGAGGGAAGGCCCTGGAGCACAACTGCTTATCAAACTCCTGCATGTGTCATGTTTTCTGACGTCTCGGTGGCCAGAGACGGTGGCAGGGCTAAGTCTGGTTTCCATGTGACAAGTGAGACTCGAGGGCCGGCGGGCGTGGCTCGCCAGGGCCATTGCAGGCTTCAGTCTGCCACAGGTCAGTGGGTGGCAGGTTGTCGCAGTGGGAGGGATCTCTGCATGGGCGTGGCACAGGGGTGGGGATGCATGTCAGAGTCACTGCCCTGGGGGCGTAGTGGTGGGAGCATTGAACTTGGCTGGACTTAGAGCTGGAAGACCAGGGTTTGGCTCAAATGAAACGAGCCCAGGAATATCTACTTCCCAGGTTTCCTCCAGCATCATAGGCAATAATGTGAAAGCATCTTGCAAACTGGAAAAGCAGAGAAATGAGCATTGTCAGGCAGAGAAGCCCGCTCAGCACCACAGACAGCTCCAAGGCTGAGGTGGTTCCCAGAGAAGCCCTGATGGCGAGTCCCTCCCTGCTGCCTTTCTGTGCAGGCGGCCGTGCCCCAAGGAAACCGCTTGTTGGACGTCCAAAGAGCCGGACTTGGCCCTTGGATTCTCATTTGCCCTGGCTGTTTCCTCTTCTGCTCCACATAAACTGAGTTCAGCGTTAGTCGTGACTCAGAAACCTCAAATAGGAGTAGCTGAGACAGGATAGAAGTTTCAACTCTCATAAATGAAGGCCCTTGCCAGACATCGCAGGGCTGCTACGGCATGTCTGCCGCCGGAAGCCCAGACCCAGGGTCCTGCTGCTCACTGCCCTGCCCTGCACCCCAAGGGGGTGGCCCTCAGCTTCCTGGTCTAAGGCGGCTAGGTGGCCAGTGTGCCTGTCAGTGCATCCACCTTCTTTCATTTGCTCCTCCCTCCAGGGACGGCAATTACTTTCCTGGTGTCTAGCACGCACCAGAAAGAGGTTAAAAGGTGTTGCGATGTGAGATTAAAAAGCCAGCACTCTCGGGCTCTGAGGAAAGAAGGAAGAGAGAAGGAGAGGAAGGAGGAAGCGATGTCTGTTTCCTTTATGACAGACACCTGTGAGGCGGAGCAGCCGAGACGACTGATGTGCTCACAGCGAGTCTGGGTCGGGACGGAGTTTGAGTCACACACGGGCACACCTGGTCTTATCATGCTCAGAAAGGTCATGTTTGCACCCTGAAGGTGTGTGGCAACCCTGCGGCAGGCATGTCTGTTGGCAAGTCCATTGGGGAAGATGCTGTGAAGGTCATTGACATGACAACAGAGGATTTCGACTGTTATATAAACCCAGCCGAGATGGGGGCAGCAGCGACTGAGAGAGGACTGACCCCAGTTCTGGAAGGGGTTCTGCCGTGGGCAGAATGCTGTCCAGCGGTACCACACGCTACAGAGGAATTGGGTCGTGAAAGGAAGAGCTGGTCGGGGTGTCGAACTTCATTGTTGGCTGAGTAAATCGCCACGGCCACCCAACCCCCAGCGCCTGACACCCGATCTGTCAGCAGCCTTCAACACGAGGCGAGGCCCTCCGCCAGCAGAGAGGCGGTGACTTGCTGATGGCTCCAGTGATGGTGAGAGAATTTTAACAGCAGATGCGGGGTCCGGTACAAATAACGCCTCCCTTTTTATTACAAAACCTTTTATTACAAAAATCATAATCCTGTAATTCTGTAACACAGCTATATCACACTCAAGCACACCCTAGACACTTTAGGTAAAATGTTCAAATTAAAACTGTAAACCATTACAGTTTTTATTGTAAATTATTACAGTAAATTATTATTACAGCAATACCATTACCCTACCAACCACGCTCCAGCAGGCCTTACTTCTACAGGACCCTGTATTTTAAGTTAAGGGATGTACACAGTTTAGATATAATGCTATTGCACACTTAATAGACTGCAGTATGGAGCAAAAAGAACTTTTACGTGCATTGGGAAGCCCTAAGAATGTGTGTGACTCACTTTATGGCAACGCTGGCTTTGTGGCTCTGGTCTGGAGCTGAGACCTCGGGATCTCGAGCTGAGCCTGGGCGTGTGTCTGTCCCTCGGCAGAGCCCTGCCCGACACGCCGGCTTCCAGAGGGAGCTCTCCTAGGGGTGGCACACAGGAAGCACACAGTGGCAGATGTCGCTGGCCAATCACAGAGCCCTTTCCCAGGGGACCTAGGTTCAGCTTCAGAATCTTAATACTGTTTTTTCCCAGCTGAAAAGACTTCAATGTGCAGTGCCTGCCCCAGCAATTAGGAAGGTACATCTAACATCAGCCTCTCCAGGTCTTCCACGTGGTGACCATCCTCTGTTCTCTGTGACATCTTGGATTCTCTGAGGGGAAGATGTTTTGGGGCTGGGGGTCTCAAGCCCCATGGGATACAGCCTAACAGAGGCTTAGCCTAGAAGGTGGTGGGTTGGTCGCAGGCTCTCCTGAGCCCAAGATCCGCAAGGCAGAGCCAGCGACTGGAAATGGGCATTTATCAGATGGTATGAAGAGTCTTTCAGCTGAATTCCAAAAACCTTCACCCAGGACCAAAGCCAGTGGCTCACTGCGGATCCAGGGTGCAGACTGAGAGCTGCTCACGGCTGCTTCCGGCAGAGCTGGGACCAGGCCTGCAGTTGGCGATTTTCAGTCCGCCAGCCCACGTTGGGGCATGTTTTCCTCTGAGCAAGCGTTCGTGCCCCAGCCTCATTCTGAAACCATGCGTTGACACATGGAAGAGGCAGGCTGTGGGCTTACACAAGAGCGTGGGCTGGAGGGCTCCTCCCAGCTTCCAGAAAATTCTGGGGGAGTCAGCCGTGAATAAAGCCCAAAGGGTTCCAAGGTCAGATGAGCAAAGATTAGTTTATTTTTAAATACTTAATAATGTTAAACGTGCAGGGGGATCTTTGGCTCTCCCAGGTGGCGAGGCCGTCCATTCAGACAATCCCGTTTTTGACCTGCTTGTCCGGCGTGGAGGAGGGGCCTGCGTCAGGCTGTTCGCTGGGCTTGTTGTCGGTGACAGCTGAGTCGGTCTTCCCCTCCGGTGGGGATGCCTTGTTCCTTCCGGCAAATGCCTGGCTGATTTCTGCATGGGTTCTGTTTTTGGTCTCGGGCAGGACAAAATATAAATAGAGCGCCCCTGTGAAGCAGATCGCGGCAAAGACCAGGAAACAGTAGGTGTGCAGACTTTTCTGTGGAAAGGCAGAGACAAAAGCCATCAAACGAACCGTCCCCACCCTGGCCGCGAACCGTCTCCGGACAGATCGGGTCTTCCTCGGCCCCCACCTGGAAGCCCACGTTCCTGCATAGAACGCCGTGCAGGTGAGGCTGGCTCCGGAGGCAAACGCGCCTCCCAGCCATCGCCCTGAGACGTCTCACCTGAGGCACAAATGCATCAGCTGGTAAAGATGAGGACCTAGCATTTTTACATTTCAAAAAGTGGGCGTGTAAAACCGAACCACCATGAAAGCAAAGTGTCGTCCACTTAACGTTGTCTTAAGTTCATGCTCACTATTAACCACATCTTCAATGTGCTCACTGGAAAGTGTGAGGATACAAGGAAGCAGAGTTCCTCTGCTCATGAGAAAAACACGGAGCAGGGACTAAGCCAGGATAACATCACCGTTTCTTAATATACAGACGATGTGACTCCCTGACTGGTCCTCTGATACAGCCTTGCACAAATCGGAGAGGCCAGAAGAAAGAGGCATGTTGAATGCAGTCTCTCCATGTCCTGTGTCCTGATCACAACTCCTAATGCTCGGACTAGAACGACCCTGCCAGCTGCTCTAGACCTTGAGCTTCCCAGTGGCCCGGTTGCCTGTGCAGCTGTGGTGCACTGCACAGCACCCGGCTCAGGTAGCCGCTCAATAACCTTGTTAAACGAAAGACTTTGTGGGTTCCGGCTGGCAGGGCTGTGAGTTTTTTCATGCAACAAACATCTATTGACCCAAAAAGAAGGTGACACTCTTTCGAATGTTACCTTACAGGAAGCAATATCTTGATTTTAGTCAGTTCCATACTATTCTTTGATGTGACCTTTGTTTTCGGAGCAGGACACAGGGCTTACGAGCTTGATGGGCAGATTGCGTCCCAGTCCCGCCCGTGACTACGATGGCCTTGCATTACTGCCAGGATGTGATGGTATTTAATCTGGGAAGAGGCAGGTGCTAATGAAGCCCCTCCCGGGAGCCAGCAATATTATAGACGTGACCTCATCTGATCCCCAAAGCCACTCTGCCATAGGGCCACTTTTATTTCCATTTCAGAAGAGGAAATTGAGGATCAGAGACATTCTGAAACACGGCCAAGGTTGGCCGGTGGGAGACGGGGCGCATACTGAGGTCTGCCTTCCCGGGAACTCATGTTCTCTCCCCTCCACTATTTCTCTCCACTCGCTCACTGCTGGGTGCGAGGTGGGGGAGTGAGGGGTCCCACAGGGTCCCCGACAGTGGCTGGAATGTGGGCTGTCTTACCCTTCCTTCTCTGACAGGCGAGAAAATGGAGATCAGAATGAGTGAGTGATTTGCCTGTGGTCACCCAGCTGGTAAGGCTGCACCTGGACTTGAACTTGGCCTGATCTGGAGGCCATGGTCTTGCTTCTGGACCTGCCTCCCATGTGCAAATTCATTCAATGCAGCCGGTCCTGCAAAGCAGCTGGCACAGAGCTGCAGAGTCACCATTTTCCTGTCCCCTCTTACTTCTGTGTATCCCCACGGTTCCTGAGAAGTTGCTCAGACAATGCTAAGTCACAGTGGGTGGGGGAGGGTGGCCCTGAAGCATCTTTTCTCTTTTTTAAAAACAATACCCAGGCTTTTCATTAAGGTAGAATTTACATTTCGTGACTTGCACAGATCTTAAGTGCTTAGTTTAATGAGTTTGGAGAAAAGCACACTCCTGTGTAAGTAACAGCTAATCAAGATGCCCAGCATCTCCAGAGCTCCAGGAAGTTCCCTGGGCCATCTTCTCCCCTCCGCCAGAATACACAGAGTTAACCGCCGTTCTGGTTTCTGCCACCTTTGCATCTGGTTCTCCTGCCCCTGCCCTGGATCTGGTTCCCACCAGGCAGCCGGAGTTCTTTTAAAAGCACAAAATGAAACCTGTCTTCAAACTGCACAGCAGCGTCCCGGAGTCCCTGGGACAACCCCCAGTCCTTCTCCTGCCCGGACACCTTGGGGATTCAGCTGGGCCTCCCTGTTCTCCCTCAGAAATCGTGCAGCTTTCTCAGGCCCTCGGGTGCTCTGCGGCAGCCCCCTTCTCCTGCCGGCCACGCTCCCCGCACCCCCCCACTTACTTCCTCAGTGTCAGCCTGAAGGGCCCCTGCCCTGCTCAGCCCACTGAGGCACCCGTTTGCCTCCTCCCGGGAAACCTAACTACCACTGTGCCCTTGAGGGTCGTGTCTGCTTTTTCCTAAAATGTTGGGGCAGGACTGTGCCCCTCCTATGCGTCCCTTGCCACCCAGGCCCCGCACCAGCTGGTGCTGCCACCTGACGCCTGTGAGTGAGGCGTTCTCTCCCTCCCTCCAGCCCCAAGGGGTACCACCTGGGCCGCCGCAGAGGCCAGGGGGCTGTGTGTTTGCCTTTGGACCCCAACCCCGGAGCTGCAGCAGCTGTCCCCTCACTTCGCAGAGACGTTTGGAACAGGACCCAGCGGTTTTCAGGCCGAGAAGAATCCTTCCCCCCTTCGAGGTTTCACTGCGCTCGGATGGAAGTTTCTGCCTCCAGTGGAAACAGGCAGGTGTCACATTTGCATGTAATTTCCTCTGAACCAGGAAACAAGGGTGTGGATGTCGGAGACCGAGGGGCCTGGCCGAGGGCTGTGCGGGCCGTTACAACGAATGACCCCAGGTTCACCCTGCCGCTGACCACAGCCCAGGCCCAGAGGGAAAGTCTGGGGCTGAGGGCGGAGAGACAGTGGCATGGTCTCCTCACGGCAGAGGCAGCCCACTCACCCCGAGTCTAGAATATTTTTCAGGAAAGGGGCCGGGTGGAGGGCAAGAGGGAAGGAGGAGGGAAAAAGTCAGGCCTTGGGAGGCAAGGTGTCCTGAAGAGCTCAGCCAGTTAGGGACAGCGCCAGCTTCCGGCCCTGAGCGTGAATTCCCTCCTGTCCTGTCTCCTCCTCCAGCTGACTCTTTGGCCGGCCGCATGACAGGAAGCACCTTTGGGCAGGAGTAATGGTCGAGGTAGCAGCCCTTCCCCAGTGTCCACGGGCAGCCCGAGCCCAGGCCTTGATGCCTCTCTAATTCTTTTGGGAGCCCTGCTGCAAAGTGTGGGCGATTCTCTTGTTTTCTAGATGTGAAATCATGGCCCCAAGAGCAACCAAAGTCAGACTGAGTTCGGCCAGGTGAGCCGCACAGCCAGGGTTTGAGGTCCGGCTGTCTGACCCCAGAGTCTGTGTCGTTTGTCCTGTGTGTCATGTGGGTGGGACACGGTACCTGGACGGTCAGAGCAGCACACTGGCCGAGGGGCTGCTGTTCCCCAAGTGGCTCCGTCCCGGCATGGGGCAGCGGCCAGGGCCCCCCAGGCTGCGGCCTCTGACAGAGCCTGATGGGTGGGGTGGGGGACAAGTAGCTGCTTTGAAAGTGGTCTTGGGAGTGCTGGGAAGGGAGGGACGGGTGACCAGCTGTCCACACATCTGGACACAACAAGCTTAGTGCCTTAGAGGCTCTGGTCTCCTTGCTCTGGGTACGGGCACAGAAGTCCACTCTCTCGGGCCCACCGCCTTGGCCCTCCCCGGGGAGGGCGCTCTAAGGATTGGATTTGTGATGATGGACTTGCCCGTCCTCCGGGAGCCCCAGAACCGGTTTCCAGAGGATTCCATGGGGAGGCCTGGTGACCACCCGGCGGAGATGCAGACAGGGCACCCACTCATTCACTGGGGTGTCCCTCCTACACCGAGACCTGCCGCGTCCTCTGTTCCTCCTTTTCGCAGCCCTCGTTTGTCACAAAGCACCCCCCGCCCCTTGCTTCCACAGCCCTGCCCCGGTCCTGCAGAGAGGGCTCTGGGCTGGCTTTTCTCCCTGGCTCTTCCTGACCATCGTCCACAGCTGCGTGCACACCCTGCTGCAAGCGAGCCGGCTGGGATGGAAGCCATCCTCCTTCACAACACGCCGTGATGCGGTGCGTGACTGTACAGGACATTGGTCTAACACAGTGATGAACAGGTAGCAAACATGATGAGTAGGTTGCAGGTTGGAGATTCTACCCAGGATTCCTTGCATACCCGCAGCAATGGAGGGCTCACTCCCTCTGAAGTAGCCCCTAGTGTTCAGGGGTAGCCCCCGGAAGGTGCAGGAGGGAGGAAGGTTAAGGGTTTTCGCCAAAGCCCATGTCTCCCTTCCCTGGGTCAACAGCTCGAGTTTCCAGCTGAGAGAGGATCAGCCTCTGCTCTGTGAGTCACCGCTCACTCAGAGGGCTGCCGAATCAGAGGGGACCCCGTGGGCGAGAGGCCCGGGCAGTCGTACCTGGATGAATGGGAAGAGGAGCCCCACGGCGAAGTTGGAGAGCCAGTTGACGGTGCCCGCCACGATGAAGGCCGCCGGCCGCTGCGACTGCTGGAAGAACTCGCCGGTCAGGATGAAGGGGATGCCGCCTGCAGTCAGAGCCAGGGCCTGGAATCAACCTCTCCGAGGGAGGGCCATGCCGCCACCATCCAACTCCCTGCATCGTGGGGGGGAGGGGGGAGGGGCGGCTCTTGGCAAGAGCCACTGTGCCTGGGTGAGCGATGGCTTTGGGGGGGCAGGAGTTACAGCCCGAACTCCTGAAGGTGTAAGAAAACCATGTGCTGCCCTGCACCATCCAAACAAGAGGCGCGCCACGCCCTTGGCTCTCCTGGCACCCTCTGACCCCAGCTGTGACAGCCGAGTACCCTGCCCACTGGTCTGACTTAGAAGGCCACCACGTTTCCCGAACGCACTGAGTTAGAGATGTGCACAGTGCTGTCTCTGGGTTAACTGGGTCAGGCAGGGACTGGCTACCTCACTCCTGGGTGAGGACCTGGGAGCCCAGAGAGGTGACGTCACTCACCCAAGGTCACCCAGCTCCCGGGGAGCAGAGCCAGGACCCAGGCTTGGGACTCTGGCCTCCAAACCTCAGCTTCTCCTGCCACCCCTTCCCCATGAGGGTGAGGGCCCCTGCCACACTAGCCGTGCTTTGCCCTCCTTCTCGCCCCTGATTGGATGCGTGGTGGCCTCCTGAGTCACCCGGCAGTGGAGGTGTGAGTGAAAATTCCATCATCACTGGGTGGAACCGTTCTTTATTTCGAGGGCCATCCTGTCTGAGCAGAACTGGGTGTCAACCACCCCTTCTGGATGCCAGCACTACCCCCAGTCACCGTGGCGACCCGAGCTGCTTCTCCGAGTTCCTAAAAGTCCTCAGGCGCCGTGCTGCGCCCAGTGTCTCTGAGGTCTGCACCCGCCTCTCCCCATGTTCCCCTCACTGAGACTCAGGTGTGGGCCCTGTCCCCGGGCCCTGGGGCTCAGCGCACCTTCTGGGGTACCATCTGCACCATGCCCCCATCCTCAGCTGGAGCCCCCACTCTGCCCAGCAGGCCCACACGTCAGCGTCCACAGAAGACAGGGAGGTGGGGGAGGGGAACCCCGAGGGTCCTTCACCAGCCCCATATTGAAAGCCACTGGGCTGAGTCACTCATTCTATCAACATTCAATGAATATTGACTTTGCTGGGCTGGTCCCACAGTGGTGACAACGTCTGAGAGTGACAATGTCCCTGCCCTCCTGGGACTTCCTCGTCTGATGAGAAAAGATGACTTGTTTATGGAAAAGGAAGTGAGTGGGCGAATCAATGATTACACCCTGCAGTAGGCACTCCACTCAGGACAGTGGGCGCCGGTGTCGGCAGTGGGCAGAGAGGGCCCCCAGGAGGGGCTGGGTGAGAGGTGGCTTTGAGGAGCAGACGCAGCTTGTGACCCTGTGGCCCAGCTTGTGCCAGGTGGGGGTGGGGGGGCAGAGGCCTGGAGCGTGAACAGGATAGGTCAAGGTCTAGAGCAGAGGGCAGCTTGCCAGCGAAAGGAGAGAGGACCTGGGTGAAGTGGAGGGGTCTGCTATTGAAGAAAAGCAAGGAGGGGTTTAGGCAGCGGTGGAGACTGCTGGGCAGTGCGGGGGGGTGGGGGGGTGGGGAGGCCATGGTTGTTTGTGGGCTCGGAGGGTGGCAGCAGGGATGGAAGGGAGGAGCGGGTTCAGAGACCCCCCGCCCCACGGAGGCAAAGCTCTTAGTGTGAGCATCGCACACAACTGCACTCGCGCTCAAGGTCAACCGAGGTCACAGAGCCAGCACCGTCTCCAGCCTGTGTGGATCCTGAGCTCTCACTCTGACAGCCCCATCCTGCTGCCGCCATGTGATATGAACCCCCGCTCACCAAAAATGACCGAGGACACGCCAGCCCTTGCCCCCCAGGACGGGCAGACAGAGAGCACCTACAAGGTCAACACTTCTTATTTGATGCAAATGCCCCAAATTTGACGCAAACTCCCCGAGAAGACTGGGTGTGCTGCTCCCCACAAAGGAGGAGGACTCCTCGTGTCCTTAGAGTGTCTGTCAAAATGCGTGAGGACAACGGCTGCACACGGAAACGTGCCAACGCAGCCTCCAGGCCACACGGAGCGCACGCCGCCGTGACGCAGAGGGCCGAGCGCCGGGCGTGCAGCTGCTCCTGCGGCGAGCCCGCGGGAGCCCCCACCCCCACTGCCCGCTCACGGGTGCCATCGCACTTGGAACTGCGAGCCTGCGGCTGGCTGTGCGGCCCTGGAGAGGGGGGGGCGCCTTGTCTCTCTTATCTCTGTGCCTCCCTTCCCCCACGGACACAAATCACACAGGCTTTGGTGAGAGGCACGGGACTTGCTGTGCGACAGAAGTGGACACTCGGTAAAAGACAGCATTATTCGGATGCGAGGAGTGAGGTGGGCGAGGGGAGGGGGAGGGGCAGAGCAAGGCCGGCCCCAGGATCACACAGGAGGAGGCGGGGCCAAGCGGGGCTGAGCCCCGAGCTCATGCTTATTTCAGAACGCGGAGGAGGAGCGACGGCGGCTCTCGACCTGAGGAGGTTCCGTCCCCAGGGGACATCTGGCCATGTCCAGAGACAGTTCTGGTTGTCACAGTAAAAGGCGATGCTACCTGCAGCCCGTGGGGAGAGGAGGAGGAGGGATGCCTCTGGACATCACACGACGCGCAGGGTTACCGGGCCCCAAACGCCTGCAGTGCTAGAATTTTCTCCAGCCAGGCGCCTTGAAGTCTGCCTTAACCAGGAGGACAAGGAAGGGAGTTAACGTTTGCCATGCACCGCCTGTGCCAGCCGCGTTGCCACTAAACAGTCCTCTCTGCAGTCAGGTGGAGGCCGTTGGTCTCTGTTAGTCTGAGAGGCTTTCCAAGGATGTCACAAGGAACAGGAGTGGCAGCCTGACGTGACCCCGCGTCCAGGCCTCTCCCTTGGTGCCCTGTGGCAGGCAGGGGCGAGGTGTCTACTCTCCTCACCGAACGCAGATGTGGGCAGAGGAGCTGGATGGTCAGAGCGGGTCTGCCGGTGGGTGGGTGAGCCAGCCCCAGGCCCCTGCAGGTGCACTGGGGTGCAGGGCTCCGGCCCAGCGCCCGTGCTGTGGTGGACACAGCGCGTCCAAGCACGTGGCTGCTGTGTGGAGATGCAGCCAGGGCAACGAGGCCCCACGGGCCGAGCGCCTTGCCTGGGACCCGTCTGCCTCCAGCCAGCGATTTCAGAAGAGTTGGGGGGCGGGGGGCCAGGAGCACAGGGGGCGGGCCCCAGCCCTCGCTCTGACACTAACTGTGATATGTGGGGCTGGTTACTTCCTAAGTCCCAGTTTCCTTATCTGTGAAATGGGTGTACTAACCCAACAGGGTGACGGATGGATGGAACAGTGGCTGCTTATTACTGTCCTATCAGTACCACTTCCACTGTCACTGTTTTCACTGCAGAACGCACCTCGGAGCAGCTCTCTGAGGACCTGTGGGGCACACGCCTCTGCTCTGTTAGCCACACTGGGGCCAACGTGGTCATTTGAATTGGAAATCAGGTTAGGTCAGCCCCCTGACTGAACCCTTGGATGGTCTCCACCGCCTGGGAGTCCGACAGCTAAACCGACCCGGCTGCGGGCTGCGGGTCTCACTTCCCTCCCACTCTCTGGCTTGAGTTCCTGCCGGCCACGTGGCTCGTCCTAGAACCTCGCTGACCTGTGAGCCTCTCACCACAGGGGGTCATGGGCTCTTGAAATGCAGCCAGTGCGAGCTGAGACTTGCTTGGGGGTATAAACTGCACACTGATTCCAAAGACTAGCTATAGAAAAAAGACTTGTGAGCACCCACAAACACATCTTATATAATGATTACACAGGAAAATGATCATGTCCGGGATATACAGTTCTGAACTAACAATATACTGTTAAAAGCAATTTCACTTGTTTCTTTTTTATTTTTTGACTGGAGCTAAAATTCCATCTGTGCCTTGAGCTATGTTCCTGGTGGGCAGCCTGTGGGGCCCGGCTAGGCAGGTTCTTGCCTCAGGCAGACCTCCCGGTAGTGGGAGGAGGGCGGGGGCAGGGGAGGCGGTCACCTTAGGTGTCCGTCTGCAGGGCTGAGCCCGACCTGACTTGGCCTAGAGCTCCACTCAGCTCCACCCACCCTGGGGTGCCTTTGCCTGCTACCTCAGCTGCAATGCGCCCCCTACTGTTCTGTTCTGTCCTGTCCAATTTGGGTGGGCCCAGTGCAGTCATGGGTCCTTATGAAAGGGGGCAGGAGCCGAGGGGAAAGGAGACACCAAGGGGAGAGGAGATGCGGCAGGCTGGCTTTGAGGACTGAGGAGGCAGCTTCTGCCAGGGTAAAGGAAGGAAGCCCCTCGCCCTGGAGCTCCCAGGGCCCAGCCCAGCTGCACCACGACTCTGGGCCTGTGAACGTGATGGCAACCTTCTGGGCTGCGGGTCTGCAGGAGAGCACACGTCTGTGGGTCCCGAGTCACCAGGTTCATGGTCACTTGTAACAGCAGAGGTGGGGAAGCAGCACAGCCCTGCCCACCTCACTGGACCCTCCCACCCACAACCGCTTCTCATTCACTCCTCAAGATCAGGGGTCTGTGCTCCTTCTCCCCCTCCCTGCCCGCCCCAGCAGAGGTGACCGTCTCTGGCCTTGAACCCACACTGCGTCTGGTTGGTGTTGACATTGCTGGTGTGCAGGGGCAGGGAGTAGGATGTTAAAACAGAAGCTGCATTTGGCCTCCGAGCCCAGAAACAACGAATTCCAGGTCGCAGCAGGGGTGATTGTGGGGTGATTGTTCGAAGCTCTTCAGCCCTTCCCAGCCTCCCCCTCCCCCCATTCGAGATTAGAAATGGGTGAGACAGTAGGGAAAGAGGGAGGAGTCTGTATGGAAATGGAGGGGGCAGGTTGCTGAGTCCTGAACCCCTCCCCCGAGAGAGGACAGAAGGGACCACATAGGACCCTGACAAGCCCAGGGGAGGCCTGCATGTTGGCCTTACAAACCCAGAGACCACAGTAACCACCTAGGATGGTTCGAAATGAACACTTCTAACTAAAGGCAGGTCGTGGTGGGCATGGCCTGTGTCATGGGCCATGTTTTTCCCCTAACAAAGGTCAGTCTTTATATCTTAGCCGAGTCTGTTCCTTGTCTGGTTTTGCATCTAAGGATAACACACCTGGTATCGTCACTTTCGAATATCAAAGTAACTTCCTTTTTTCCTGACCCCTCACTGCACCGGAGCAGAGACCACACACCCCTCATTGTTACTGGTATTGACTTAATCGTTAACTGTTACCGGGCCTGTACCGGCCTATGGAAAAGAAGTACGTGCCGATCCCTTTTCTTTTATCCAATCCCAGAGGTTTCCCTGCTGTGCTGTCGCCCGCCCTCCCTAATCTGTCGAGTCTAGATTTCATGGGGACCCCCCCCATGTCTTCCCTGTCGATTCTGGTGTGTAAAACAAATGGTCAAACAGCCACTTTCTGGAGCGTTTTCTCAATCTGTTGAGAGTCGGCTTCTTGGCAGCTGTCATCAGTTTGGCTCCAATAAACTCATAAAACTCCCCGTGGATTTGAATGTGCCTTACGCTGCCCCACCCCATCCCATAGTCCCTGGGGCGTGTGAATGTCACTTTATGCAGCGAAAGATGCAATTAAGTTCAGAAACGTGAGAGGAGGCGCTGCCACGTGTCGGGGTTACCGGCCTGAGCCTAAATGCCCCATAAAAAGGACAGAGGGAATCTGGGACACAGGCGTGAGGGGAGGGGCATTTGAAGACAGGGACACAGAGTGGCGTGAAGTAGCTGCAGTCAAGGAACTCTGGGCTGTCAGGGCCCTGCCCACACCTGGATGTGGGACCTTTGGGCTCTGCAACGTCACAAGAGTACATTTCTGTCCCTTGAAGCCCCTGGTCTGTGGGGCTTAGATGGAGCAGCCACACAGTCAGACAACCAGCTCTCACTGTCTTAGAGGTTGCGAGGAGAGTTTACAGGACACATTGCTCTGCCCAGGTTCCCGGTTCCTGGGATGGCCCCAGGCACAGCCGTGAGGGACACAGAATCTGACAGACACTACAAGAGAGCCCTTGGAGGCAGCTGGTGGCCCCTGACCCCGGGGTGGAGAGGCAGAGCTTCAGACCCCCTCGTGTTTTTGCTGAAGACCCCGGCTTCATACAGACGCCTTTTCCCTGTCTGCGTGTGTTGTTGGGACTGCTTCTAAGGGATGGTCCTTTCTGGAGAGGGTTTGCAGAAAGTTGTAAAGAACACTGCTATATTTTTTATTTCCGTTTTAAGAGATAAGTGCACTAATTAACTCTGCCTTTGGCTGTGGGAAAGAGATAAGAAGGAAAAACTAAGCACAGCCAGGGGGAGAACGGCAGGAAAGATGAGACTTCAGAATTGGGTAGACGTGGGTTCCAATCCTGCCTGGGCCGCCTGTGTGCCCTGTGACAGGGGCAGGGCGGGCACCCTCGTGCCCAGGTGTCCCCATGGGGGAGGGGACAGGCCCTCTCCTCTGAGGATGCTATGGGGACCTGGTGAGTGGGCGAGTAGCTAGCGCCGAACAGGTGCTTAGCTTATGGAAGACGATCCTATCCATTTTCAAATCCCTCTCAGTCCTGAGTGAGCGGACTGTGCACCATAAGCTTTGTGGGCAGCCTGCCACCCCTCTGTCTGGTTCGAAGCATCAGATGATGCAAAGCTCTCATTCCCAAAGCCTCTGGCCCTGCATCTCTGGCTGTCTGGGGGAAGCACATTTTTCTGCGAACTTCACGGCTGTATGAGGCCCTGAGGCTGCTGCTAACCAAGCCCCAAGCTCATCTCTCACAGTCCCAGGGCCAGAAGCCTGAGCTCCAGGTGTCAGCAGGGCTGGCTCCCTCTGGAGGCCGCAGGGAGGAAACGCCCCGAGTCTCCACCCTGGCGGCTGCTGCTGTGGCCGGCCATCCCCGGGGTTTCATGGGGCCCCGCGGGGCTGGTGTGAGGCCTCAGTGAGTTGGCTGCAGCCAGACCCCAGCTCACAACCCGAGCTGCCAGCCAGACACTCCACTGTCCCCTCTGTCACGGCTGCCATCACCTCCGTGCCCTCTACTCCTGCCCTGAGGGAGTGTGCAGGGGGCGTGAATGGCCAGGGCTCAGTGTGGCCGGCTCACCTGGGCACAGGTGTCCGCAGCCTGAGATCTGGCCAATGAGCTCCGACCATGTGCCCAGGTAAGAGTTAAGACGGCAGGTCCCAGAACGGGAAGGTATAGCCAAATCCAGAGCTTGCCCCTTAGCTGTGTGACTTGGAGAAAGTTACTCGATCTGTTGTTTATGTTTTTCATCTATAAAATGGGAATAAAATTAGTTTGGAAAGTAAAGTTTCAGCAGCTGAACTGTAGATAACTCATCTTTTACCACCTGGGGAAGAGAAGGAGGAAAAAAAGAGAAAACTGATGTGGTCCACCCACTGTGCCGGTAGTCTTGCCGACCCAACCTCACGGTACAATGGTGTTACCAGCAGGGACTTTGGAGTCCTTGCATGTGAGACACGTTAGCAGGCTTCACCGGGCCTGTTAAGGTTGGAATGTGTAGCTCCGGGCATGCCCACCGGAACCTGTCACTGTCAGCTACGCAATTATCCAAGGAGAAAGAGCCTCAAACAAACAGTTCCTGTGCTTCCGTGACACCCCGCAGGGTCTCTTAGGGACGTCACACGTGCGGGCGGGGCCAGCACGCACCCTGACGTGGTGGGGGGGGGTGCTGGGGAGATGGCAGGTGGCTGACCTGCGGCTGCAGTCACTGGTGTCCCATGAATTATTAGCCAAGTTGGGTTCTCACACAAAGTTCTGACTGTTGTCTGATTTCATTTTGACACCACGGCTCCGCGTTAGCTGATATTCAGAGAGGCCTCCCTGGGCACATGGCTTCTCAGGCATGACTTCCACACCCGTCTTTGAGCCCTGTGACTCAAAGGGCTGCCTGTCTCCTGCTCCCCAGGGTTTCTGGGCCTGGCCTGGGGCCACCGGGTCACCTACCCCCTGGGGCACCCAGGCCCAGGCTGCCCGTGGAGTGGCGGGTGGCCGGCCCTGTGGGGCTACACACACTCCCTCCCTGAACTGTGTGTGACGTGTGCCCCTCCAGCCATCTGACCGTCCTCAGCATCACTGCACCGCGGGAGTACGTGCCGGTGGCGTGTGTCCCTGGCGCCCTCCCGGTCATGCCTCCCCCGCCCATTCTGTTATTTCATCAGACCCTCCTGACATCCTGCGTGGGCACAGGTGCTTTTCATCACCGCAAACACGGTGGCCCGTGAGGCCCAATGGGAGACCAATCTGCCACGCAGAGGCAGGAACAGGAGATCGGCGCTGCCTGTTCTGCTGGAAACTCAGTGCGGTTGCACCAACACAGAAACTGAAATGAAGAGGAGGCACGGCAGCCCCCCACCCCCAGAGAAGAGCTCTGTGCCCACTCCAGACCCGCCCCGAGCCACTTCTCAGTCCCACCGGGTCTGGGGTGGGGTTGGGGGGAGGACACAGACCCAGAGCCTGGAATGGCAGGGCTCTCGGGCTCACCCACCTTGGCCATGTTTCCGATGGGGAAACTGAGGCCCGAGGAGAGGAGTGGACTTTCCCACTAGGGCAGCGACAGAGCTGGAAGTAAGTCCTGGGTGAACAGCTTAGAACGTTCCAGACGGCGCACCCTTACAGGAAGTGCAAGGTGGTGGTCGGGGGCCCGTGACAGGCCCTCCGCTCCCCGGCTCTGTGTAAGGCTCCTCCCATCCCCACCCCCTCTGGAGCTGCGTGTAGCACACAGTGAGCGATCCATCTTAGCCGTCACCACCATCATCATCGCCACTCTGTCTTCCATGTTACACTGTAACTTGTCTGTGGGTGGGCACAGCTGCAACTGGAGTACCTTCAGTTCATCCCAAACTAGCACGTGTGGCTCGTGCCCCCCCCCCACTGCAAACTGCTGCAGTGTGGCTGTAACCTGGTCATCAACGCACCTCTGGGGAGCACGTGACCCGCCATCCGTGGGATGGAAATCAAGACAGTCGCTGAGTTTAAATGTCCAGGGAACCCTCTCTTCCCCCTCCGTTCCCGAGCAGGCCTCCCCCTCCCTGGGCCCCAGACTTCCATCTGCACAAGGGACACCCCCACCATGGTGGCACTGTGAGCCCTGGGCCAGCTGGTGCAGAACAGGGTGGGTGTGCCTTACCTGGGCCACTGCAGAAGGATGCAATGATGGCCAGAATGCAGAAGATGCTCAGGTAAGGGATCCAGGAAGCCCGGTCCTGTGAGAGAGCAGCAGTGGGCAGGTGAGGGGGCAGGCGTGTGGACGACCCGGGCTCCCACCCCAGGGCCTCCTCTGTCCATCTGCATGACCTTGGACAAGTCCCTTTACATCTGAGTCCCAGTTTCGGTGTGCAGACACTGGGGATAGTGCTGACCTCTGAGCCATTCCAGCGTCTGTCTTACAGACGGGAAGAGCAGAGAAGTTAAGTGACTTGCCAAAAGACTCATGGTACACAAGTGGGAGAGCGGGGGACTCACACCCAGGCAGTCTGGCCCGAGAGCCCCCGCTGGTCCCCATCAGCCAATGATGTGACCATCGTGCAAGTGCCTTGTGTGGCAGCAACAGGCGCCTTAGGAGTCATCTCTCCTATTCCGTAGGTGGGCAAACAGAGAGACTCAGAGCTCAGAGAGGGAGTGTGTCTCGCCCAAGATCACACAGTTCATCAGTCCTCACGTCTCCCAGTCCGAGGACCCACCACCGAACCCTCCTCCCCACGGGTGCAGGGCTGAGAGGCCTGGGGCAGCCTTTGTGTCAGAGGCGTCCACAGACAGTGCTGACTCCCCAAGCCAAAACTCCGGGGCACCGAAGCCACAAGCCAGCTCCCTGCTGACCTCCCCAGGGTGCCCCAGGCACACAGTCTCACCTGCAGCGTCAGTGTGACTGTGAGGATCCCAAAGAAGAGGGTCATCAGCCCAAAGCCGCCAATGAGGAGAGGTCTCCGCCCCAGGCGCTCGATGACCAAGCCCTAGGTCAGGGTCAGAGAGAGACGGTTACTACTGCACTTCCGGCAGCAGGGGGGGTGGGAAGGGGGACTGGGAGCTGGCGGGGGTCCTGGTTAAAGGGTGGTGTTGAGCTGAGACAGGACACTGAGGCAGTGGTCTTATGAGGAAGGAAGAAAGGAGAAAGTCGAAGTTCTTGTGCACCTGTTTGACGATCTTACACTCACCTTTCTTCCGAACCTCCCTCGTCAGGGGGCGGGGCTTCCCTGCTGGGGGTTCTGGGAGAGGGGCCAGAAGGACAAGGCTGCCGCAGCCCTTGCCACCCTGCTTTGGAGCCCCACTGCCATGGAGACCACACTCTCTGTATTCCTCTGTGCCCCACGCTGTGGATTTTAGACGGCACACTCCGAAGACCCAGGTGCAGGGGTGGGAGTGGGCAGAGAAGTTTCCCTTAGTTCCCACTCTGCCTGTGCCTGGGGTGTGACACCAGGAAGCCCAGGTGACAGTGGCCCCAGAGGTGGTGCCCCCAACCCACCTGCAGCCTTAGGACTGTCCCTGACCCCCATTCGCTGGACCTGTATCTGCCTTTCAGTTGGGCCAGTTTGGGGCTGGCTCTTCACTGAGCTCCTTCAAACGCCAATGACTTTGGAGGACAGTGATTGTAGCCAAGTTTCAGAAACAGGCCGGCCTGGGTCTTCTACCCAGGTCTTCCGCTTCTCCGGACGGGTGAATGCTGGCCTGGCCTCCCCTCCCCAGAGCCCCACGGGGCCTGTCTGTGCAAGGAGGACTGAGTGCCCTCCGGCCGGGCTGTCTGGGGGGCTGTAGGGGTCGGTGAGAGATGGCATCCAACACACACGCTGGGCTCTGTCAGCTGCTCCCTGCCCTGTCCCCTCCCCCTCCCAGTTCACAGAAGGAGAGCACTGGAAATAGTTCATAGTGGCTGGCTCAGGCTGCGGTTATTATTTCATGTGGTTATTATTTCACTCGTTTTTTGCCCACCTTTTCCAAGTTTCCTACAACGAGCTTTTTTACCTTACAAAATAAAAATAAAGATGAAAAGATCAACACAGCCTAAGGATGGAGACGCAGATTTCTGTGCCCCCAAATTACAAATCTTTACTCTGCCGCGATTTCCAGTACCCGCACTGACAAATTTTCATCACCGTGTAGGATGTGTTTTTGCTTTAATCTATGGAGTCAGAGCCATTCTTACAGTTAACAGAGCAGAGCCCAGACCTCAGCCGGCACCGAAGACGCAGGCTGCTCGTGACTGGAACATGCGGCATCTGCGGTCCCCTAGCCGCCGGCACCCACCGACACGGCGTCCGTCACTGTCGGTCCCGTCAGTCTGGATTAGAGTTCCACGCAGATGACCGCTGCGCTTTAGAGGCCCCTAGAGGCCTGCCCCGCTGTACCCAACGGCAGTCCATCCCTTTTCGTGCCGAGGGAATGAAGTGTTGGTGTAGTTCACCATACTTTGCTCCTTCGTTCATCAGCTGGTGGACGTTTGGGCTGTTTGCAGTTTGGGTTCTTATGAGCGAAGTTGTTACGAACACCGGTGTCCTGTGTCTGTGCCGAGTGTGCTTTGATTTCTCCTGGGTAGATACTTAGGAAAGAACAGTTGGGTCGCAGGTACAAATTTTGTAAGAAGCTGCCAAAGTGTTTTCCAAAGGGTCGCACCGTTCCCGGTTCCCACCAGCAGAGGGTGGAAGTTCTAGTCGCGCCGCATCCTCGGCAGCCCGTGGTGTGACCGGCCTCTGCACCCTCCTTACGGTGAACTCTGGTATCTCTCTGTGGGTTTTAGTTTCATTTTCCGACGACGCACGGTGTCAAGAACCTCTTCACCTGTTCACTGGTGTTTTTCTATCTTCTTTGTGAAGTGTCTGTTCAAGGCTTTCGCCCATTCAGCTGGGCCGTTGGTCTTATTCTGAGTTCCAGGGGTCATTTATATGTTCTGGGTTCAAGTTCCCCGTGAGGCATGTGCTTTGCAGGCATTTCCCAGTCTGGCTTGCCTCTCATTTCCTCAGCAATGGCTCGTAAGTAGTCACAGCTTTGAACTGTGGTGAAACCTAGCCAATCCTGTTTCCAACCAGTTCACGCCTCATGGGCCCCACCTAAGGAATCTGCTTCCCTCAAGGCTGCAAAGCCTTCCTCCTGCGTCTCCTTGGAGAAGTGTCAGCATGTAGCTTGCACGTGCTACTCCTTGGTCCATTTCTTGTTAACTTTTGTGGCTGCCACGAGAGAAGGGCTCCCTCCCATTTTCCCATGCAAACATCTACTTTTCGCGGCACCGTGTGTCGTCGAGACCGCCTTTCCTTGTCACACTGCTCTGGTGTCTTTTGCATTTCTGGACTCCATCCTGTCCCGTTGGTCTGCATGGCTGTCCTGAGGCAAAAACCTCACCGCTGTGACCGCTGCATGCCGAGCGCTGCCATAGCACTGACCAGGTGCCAGGCCTGGCTCCAGGTGCTTTACCAATAGTAATAATTTCCCCCTCATAATGTCCTATGGAGGACATGTTTCCCCTATTATATCCAGAAACTGAGACTCGGAGAGGCTTAGCGACCTGCCCAAGGCCCCACAGTGGTGGAGCGAGCATCTAGGTCGAGACTGTTAGGTTCCGAGTCTTGCTTTTAACCCCTGTGCTCTCCTGCTCCCCCTAGTCCCGGGGAGAGAGATATCATGCAGATTTATCAAGAGGAGACTCCCTCTCTCCACGGCTGCCCTCCCTTCACCTGTGGGAGGCTGGGCATGGGGGCACAGGGAAGAAAGAAGCGGGAAGAAAGAAACCCCAGGGAAAGTGATGGGTTGAATTGAGGCCTCCCCCAAAACTAGATGGCAGAGCCCTAATCCCCGGTACCTTGAAACGTGACTTTATTTGGAAACAGGGACATTTACAGAAGTGATCAATGAGGTCCTTCTACAGAAGCTCAAATGAGGTCCCTAGGCTGGGCTGTAATCTAACATGACAGGTGTCCTTGTACGGAGGAAATATGGCCCCAGACACGCACACAGAGAGAGGGCCACAGAGTGAAGAGGAAGGCAAAATCCGGGGGTACTTCTACAAGCCGAGGCCCACGCCGGCTGCCTGAGCTGTGTGTGGGGCTCCTCAAGGAGGAAGTGCGATCGGTGGGGGGGTCTCTGCCCCACTCAGGACAGGCCCTCTGACTGCTCCCGGGTGGAGGGCCTATGTCCCAGCCCAAGGCAGAGTGCGGGCTTCCTCAGCAGATGCACTTTCATCACCCAGCTGCAAAGGAGCCTGAACTAAGCACCTATGGACGGGTGTTTGTGATGGGCCAGCGCTGAGCCTTAAGGGAGGCGCGGAGACTGGAGATGGCAGAGGTCTGATACGACTGTAGCCATTGCCATTTCTTTATATCGACAATGTCACACACACACACACACACACACACACACACACACACACAGTGTGCACGGATATAGAGCAACGCACTCTGAACACCAGAGCAAGATGACGCCGCCCCGGTTTGGACCAGCGCCCAGGTATCTGTCCAAATGGCTGTTCCTGAGCCTGACACTCTGGGATGGTGGAGGATCCGTGAGGAGCCTTGCCCCACAGCAATTAGTGACTCTCCGGGCAGAAACCGGATTACTGCCACAGCCTGAGCGACTGGAACGTGGGAGGAGGGAAGGGGGAGGGTTTGGGGATCGCTGACCCGGCTCTGTCTCCGGGAAGAAAGCAGGGCAGCCTGCACGAGAAGAAACGCCAGCTGTCCGAGTTGCTGCTAGCTGGCGGCCCTTCTGCTTTAGGTGTGCGAGTGTTCATCTTTGCTTTCACCAGTTTCTGCCCGAGAAGAAGCCAAGAGCTTAAACAGCGGTGGTTGTTTTCAAATTAATCAAATTTTAAAGTCCATCTTCAGAAAACAGGGTCTCGGGAAAAGGTTTCTACTTGGAACATGCTCTCTCTAAGCTGAAAATTAAAAAATGAATTCACTGAAACGTAAGCTCTGTTTGGAAATTCCTGTTTAAAAGATGAATGTGTGAGACCTGCGTATGGATTTGGGCTGAAGGTATGAGAAATGAAAATGCTACTTTTAAATGCTTGCCATTGTAGGGTGGTTTGTGGGCCCTAAAAATAATAAATCAAGACGGTCTTGAGACATTTCAGCCCACGTGCAACATCGGACATGGATTGGGGCCGACTGGACTCCAAGGAGAAGCGGGTCATGGATCGGGCTTCTGCAAGTCCTCGTGTCCTGGGGAAAACTGTCCTGGGGTCAAAGCCGTAGCTTTTGCAGCTCCTGAGGGGAACACCTCCCCTACGTCCTTCCGCCTTTGAAAGGAAAAGGTAGTTTTTAAGAGGTTTGTGATCATAAATTTAAAACCATTCTTAATTTGGGGCAAGTGGGAAAAGAAGTTAGCTCTTAAAGAAAGCTCTTAAATGGAGCTGAGAAAGAGACACTGGGTGGCAGGTGGCCAAGGAGTCAGGGCAAGGCCACAGGGACACGGGCGAGGGCCAGGTGGGCACGGGGCGGGCGTGGGGCAGCCGGCACCTGGGGCCGGCAGGAGGCGGGCAGTGCACCGTCCTCACCTCAGCCGGCAAGAGCAGGGCCGGGGGCACAGAGCCCAGCCACCCCGCATTTGCCTGCTCGCCCCTTCTCACTTCCCCTCTAATGCCCGGCACAGGGTCTGGGGGCTCCAGGTGCAGCCGTGAACTCCAAAGCCATTGATTCTAAAATCGTGAGGTTGCTGGGGAAGCAGAGAGGGCTGTAGGGAGTAGAAACCAATAGGACATTTCCAGTTTTTTTTGCTTCAACTCCATGGCATGAAGCTTTCCTGTCAGCTACACAACAAACTCACGGCGGTGAACGCAAAGTAAGAGTGACTTGTGCGGATTCTGTTTCCCCCGATCTGAGAAGGCGCTGGGTCTCAGCCTCACAGCAAAGTGAGCCTTGTACCACGGGCCGCCACGGCCCACGTGGCTGTGTGTGCTCGGGCCCCTGTGGCCTCAACAGCACGCGTGGAAGTTCCCTCATCAGAGAATTCACGCCGCACCAAGCCGATGTCTGGAACACCAGCTGTTTCTGCAGGATGGCAATTATTCACAGCTGCCCACGCCGAGCCCACACGGATTGCAAGTCAAGTGAACGAAAATGCCTTTCTCCACATTAGGAGGCTCCGAAGCCATTTTCATAGACTGCCGAAACCTCCGTGAGAAGAAAGGACAAAAAGCTGCGAAGCCCTTTTCCACAGGCAGGCGCGTCACGGGGCTGGATGAAACCGGCTCTGCACTTTTGGAAACAAGGGAAGGAAAACTTCAGCCAGGGCAGGGGCTGCACTGCCTGTCCACTCTGCCCAGAGCACTGGGCCTTCAGGCACCTCCAGACCCATCTCCATGGCGACTGTGTACCGTGGTGACTCACTGCCGTGGCTGCTATCACAGATGACCGCAAATGTAGCAGCTTGATGAAACATCATTTTCTCTTATGGTTCTGGAGGTCAGAAGTCTGAGGTAGGTCTCCTCGGGGAAAACACTGAGGTGCTGGGGCTGGTATTCCTTCTGGGGGCTCCAGGGGGCGTCGTTCCTGGCTTCCTCCAGCGACTCCTGGCCTGCTGCCCCCCTCGGCCAGCGGTCCCGCAGTCCGCCCTCCAAGCTGGGGATCACACAAGCCTTTGCTTTTGTCCTCATATTTTTCCTGACTTCCAGGTCCTCTCCTCTCAACTTCACCTATAAGGGCCCCCGTGATTCACTGGGCCCCAGATAATTGAGGATATCCTCTCCGTCACAAGAGCCTTAACTTAATCACACCTGCAAAGCCTCTTTTTCGGTCTAAGGTGACACAGTCACAGCTTCCAGGAATGGGGACATTTGGAGGTGGGGGTGGGGATGGTCCTCTGCCTACCACAAATTAGCATGGTTACATCCATTTTAAAGGTGAGCAAATAAATTCAGACTCGTTGGGCAGTTTTCCTAGGGCCACTCAGCTGGTAAAAGGATGATTAGGATCTGAATGCAGAGCTGCCAGGCCCAGGAGCCAAAGCTCTTTCTCCCCAGCACATCATTCTGTTCAGATTCCTGGACTCACCTGAGTTTAATCTCAATTTTTCCAGGGATTAAGGTACGTGCTACCATTTCAAGGACTGTGTCCAAAATGGTCCTTAGACTAGACTATCATAGACTATTATATTATAGACTAGTCTGCCTCCCCAGCTCTTTTAAAAGATGAAGTAGGGAGGAGAACAGATGACTGGGGACAGGCTCACAGGGCCGTGGAACAGGCTGCCCAACGCACTTTCCTTCCCTTTGCCTGGCTAACTCCTGCTGGCCCTTCTGCTCCATTTCCTAGTCCCCTCCTCCAGGAAGCCCTCCTGGACACCCTCACAGGAGAGTTCATCCCCGTGTTGCCCGTGGTAGGTGTCTGTTTCTGGGTCTTTCTTTCTAGATCATGTCAAGTTCACTGGTGACGTCCTAGCATGAGCATGGCATGGGTGTGCCCCGGGTGCTGGTGGGGTGGATGAGTGCATGAATGAGTAAATGTCACCGGGGTGATGAAACCTTACTCCCCACAGTGAGGCTGTGGGCTCCACCTGAAGGCTCCTGAGCCTCCAGAACACACGTGATCCAAAGTGACCGTGACCCAGACTGGAAGGCGGCAGCAGGCAGACCCTCCAGAGGCTGGGATGCCCAGTCCTGGTTTTAGAAAGGTCCTCTTTCTCCCAGGAGTAAAATCCTAAAATGCAGACACCTTTGGAGTGACCAAGGGCACACTCCTTTAGCGGGGGCTGGTGGAGGGTCCCCACAGCCCTGTTTAATCCCTGGCACTGTTCTCTGGAATAATCCTCCGTTTACTTACAGAGAAGATGGAAGCCAAGGTCTCGATGCCGCCTGTGCTCAAGGTGATGTAGGGGATATTTTCCGGAGGAACCCCAGCTTTTCCAAAGATGCTGTCGGTGTAGAACCAAATCTATGACGCAGGGGAGAAGAAGAAGGGAGCAGGGTCAGTGGGGGGCATCCATGGCCTACGTGAAAACCAGGCCCACGGTGTTCTCCTGCAACGTGCAAATCCAGAGTCACAGGGTGGAGCCCCACGTGGTGTGTCCGAGCACACGACACTCAGACGCTGCCTGTCCCCACAGCCGACTTGGGGAGCAGACGCGATGTTTTTCCCCACCATGTGCTCATGCCTCGAGGTTCACAGACACATCCTAGTGGAGTTTGTGAGGTCATGTGGGGCACGCAGATTGGAAAGTGGCATCTGGGTGGGGAGAGAATGCTGTTTAGAAATGCCACGGCCCCTGGTCTAGAGGCCTGTGCACACACAGAGTCCCTACGTGGCTCTAGTGACTCCAAGTTTGGGCTTTAAGAAATGAACGTATTCTCCCTCTGCTTTCTCAGAATGGGGGTGGCAGAGGAGGTGGCTTTGAGACCCTGAAGCATGACCTTGACCTTAAAAAGAGGAGGAAGCAGCAGGACTTGTCCAAGGTCATGCTGTTGACCCAGGCCCCTCCTCATTCTGCACACCTTCATGAGTGGGGAGCTCACCCCCCGGAGGGCATTCCACTGTGCTTCTCCCGAGCCCCCAAATTCCCAGATTCTAATTTCTGGAGCCCTTGAGAGAGAGAGAGAAGGAGCAACTAAGCTCACCAGAGGGTTCGGGGGCTTTTGGGGAGGCCCCCTCTTCCCACGTCCTGCCTGTGTGAGCTCAGGCCCGTGAAACTTAGTCTTTCAACCTTGAGATTTCCTCAGGCCAAAGTTACCATTGAATCGAGCCCAGCCTGAAGCACTTTCATTTAACTCATCTCCAGGTCTCTTCCTCATGACTTCTTAATACCCATTTTATTAGCAAATAGGGCTTTTAAGTGTTTTAGGAACAAGTCATCGTAGTGACAGGCAGTATTCGTGAAGGGATAAGCCCACGAGCTGCTGCATGGAACACTTTGCATGAATTTTTTTTTTGCGCTAAGTTGTCCCATTTGACAGAAGAGAAAACTGAGGATCAGATGATGCCCAACGGCATAAGCTGGCAGAGGTGGCAGAGCTGGGACTGGGACCTGGGCCTGCGGGCCCTGAGCCACCCCACCCCACCCCACGCCTCCCCCTGGCTCCCCAACTTGGGCACTCACCGCATTGAGGCCGCAGAGCTGGTAGCAGGCCATGGTGACCACCACGGTGAGGACCTGCCAGCGGACGCAGGGGTTCCTCAGCAGCTCCCACACGGACACCGGGCGGATGTCCCTCTGCATGCGGCCCTCCTCCAGAACCTCCTCCATCTCTCGGGACACGTCCTCCTTGCCCAGGAACCTCTGGAAGGCTGCACACGGGGACAAGGAGAGACGTTCAGCAGAGATCGGGTCATTGGCTGGGTCTAACACGGGGCTCCTTAGAGAAGGTTCAGACACCAGACAGGCACTTTGTCAGAGAAGGAGGTGGCAGGGACCTTCAAAACCACGGAGTTTAAAAATAGGAACACAAACCCCAGCCCGTGGAGGGACCAGCCCATGGTCACCCAGTTGGCAGGGAGAAGAGTCAGGAGAGCCCCAGGATCTCCCAACTGCCCCCCCAGCAAATCTCAGTGTGCTGAGGGTTCAAGTCCTGTGTCTGCCTCTGGGTGGATAAACATTCTGGCCCATTCCTGCCTCCCGTGGCTGCAGTGGTAATGGCATGACTCACTGCCCACTGCACACACACACAGGAGCACCCCTGCTGGCCTGCGGGCTCGTCTTTCCTGGCTGTGTGCAGCCGGAGGTCAGATCTCCACTTGGCTGGGGTGCCCAGGAGCTGGTTCTATCAACAAAAGGAGGGCCCCAGGGCCTTTGCACATGATCCCTGAAATGCAGAGAGGCCTTGGGAAATGGTCCCAAGGAGCTAGCCTTCCCAGGACTCAAACCAACCCAGGTGGCTTATGCCTTTTCCACACCAACAGTGCAAACGTCCAGCCTCAGTGAACCTGTCCTTTTTACCAAGGCCTTTGCTGTGTGAACCCCCACGGGTGGGTGTGTGAAGGTGGGTGACTGATGAGGCCCCTGAGCTTATAGTAATCCGGGCATGGGAGAGGCCCTTAGAGGCAGATTCAGACACTCAGCGCTGTGTATTCACTCTCCTCCAGGGGCAGGCGGCTCTGGCCTCGGCTCCTGCGGACAGCCATTCCGGACACAGTGGGCGACGTCCTTAAAAACACTGCTCTGAGCCACAGGGCATGCAAACTTGCTCTTAAGTAGAAAAAAAAAAAGCCTTTAAACTTGCTCCAGATTCTCCAAGAAGCAAGCCCCGAAGGCTCTCTGTGTTATTTCCGGAAGTGTAGTAAAACCTGCTTCGGAATGTCTTTGTCAGCCATGATTTAATACTTCTCCTAGCGTTTATTAAGCATAAATGGGAGAAGCAGCTGAATGAGTAACATTTCCACATCATGCACTAAGCCGTTGTATTTCCAATCCTTCTGTCAAGTTTAAAATGCAACATTTATATGATAAAGTAATCTTAGAGGTTTGGGTCAGGAAAATATTTCTCTCTCCTCCCTGTCATACATACTTTCCATATAAAATAAGGAAACTTTATAACCTATTTTTTTCCCTTTTCACTTTGGCTGTTGGGAAGCTCTCAGCTAAATTTAATGCTCAGGTCTTAAAAGACCTTCCTAGAACAAAACTCTTTCTTCTTTCTCTTAAAAGTTATGATCTCTTCCTCCTTTAATGCATCAGTTTAATTTCCCGTTGTATATGTGTTTATAAAAATAGTTTGCTCTACTGGTCCCATTCCCCTTCTTATAAGAGTCCTACCCCTGGACGAGGAACTGGGTCTCGTGTGACGAGCATGGCAAACACGGAGGTGCGCACTCAGTCCCCTTCAGGAACGGACTCCCTGCGTGGCTGTGAGCACGGCAGTGTGGTTTACGGCTGGCATTCAGCTCTTGGCTTCGTGGGCAACCACCTCAACTTTGAAGCCCAGGCAGGGCTGGACTTGCATTTTTGGTTCACCCACAGACCATGAGTGAGAATGTTTCCTCCCTTCTTCAGGGGAGGGCCTGGAATCTGGGTGTGCAGCAGGGAGTCCATTCCCCAAAGGGCAGGAAACTGCAGGGAGGGGACAAAGCACAGTGTCGGGGTGTCCTGCCGCTGCCACTTCTCCTGTCATCACGGTGACTCTGCCAGCTCAGGGCAGGTGCTTATGCTGGTGTGTAAGGCTTGTGACACTTCCTGCCCAAGGCCAGGTCTTGTTCAGGGCCTGGCGGACAGCAGGTGCTCCAACCAGGTGGGGTCGGCGTAACTGGACCTTCCTCATACTTGCTGATGTTTCATCGGATGTGGGTAGGGTTGGTCTTGTTCTCCTTGGTCCTGAACTCAGGACCAAGGTCGGGAGCTGTGCCAGATGTCAGCTCTCCACCAGGAAGGATTGTCCGACTGATGTTTTCAAGGGTGGGTTGGGTGGTTTCACAAGCAGTGACTTCCCCATCCCTGGAGGTGTGCAAGGAGAGGCTTGATGACCACCTGTGGGAGATGTTGTGGGAGGGACCCTGGCATTGAACAGGAAGGTGGACAGTGAGGTCTCGAAAGCAAGTACAGAGGTCCAGGTGTGCAGGGTCCCTGGAACACGGGGACGGGGAGGGACGGCACGGATGGCAGTCGTAACCAGCTGTCCTTGGAGAGGGACAAAGCGACCTTAGAAAGCGACCCTGGCATAGGAGTCTGTCCTCTTTCGTGTACAAGTCATCCAGATAGCTCACCCCATCTCCCCCGGGGCCTCTCCTCCCAGCTCAGGCTCCCGCCCCCCGTGGCTCCCAGCTCATTCTTATTCCCGCTCACATTCCAGTCGGATTCCAGAGAACCGGAGAGAGGAAGGAGAACTGGCACTTCCCAGCTGGAAGGCAGACCCTCTGGGAGCCTGGTCAGCTCGGGCTGGGAAAGGGAGCCCTGATGTAATCAGGGTCTGTCCCAGTTAAAGACTCGCCTTTACTCAGGGGGAGAGGAGGCTAACACTTATTGTGGTGCCAGACGGGGGGCTAGGCGTCTTACAGACTTGACCACAATTCCTGGCACTGCGCAGTGGGTGGAGCCTTGGGGAGGTTGGGAAATGTGAGAACACAGAGAGAGCTGGAGGGTTGGGCCTCTTCCGGCGACCGACAACCCCTCGCTCTTTCTCAGCCACATTCCTTCTACTCCAGACCGTCTGCCACTGACCTTCAGCTCTTTCCCTGAAGCCTGACTTCTGGACAGTGGCTCCCCACAGGCCCATGGGAAGCCCCCAGGATGCTGCCCACGGACATCCCTCAGTGCATGAGGGTGGGAGGAGGAAAGTCACCCTCAGATTCCGTCCTTCTGTCACCTACTGGGTCCCCTGTGGGCTTCTGGGAGAAAGCGGGCTCCAGTCCTGTCCCCACCACCGAGCTCTGCAAATGTCCTGTAGGTGGGTAACTTTCTTCTGCTGAAGAAAGATTTATTGTTTCCTTTGTGTTTTCAAAGGGAGGCCTCAGGCAAGTCACGTCACCCCCGGGAGCCTCTGTGTCTCCATCTAAACAACGAAGGTGATGATCAAGTTCTGTCATTTCACACTCCATAAATGTCGTAAATGAGAAAATGTATCCAAACCACAAACTCACAGACAAACACAGGCAATTATTGACTTTCCATTATGCCGCTTGTTAGGTTGAAAATAGTTAGGTTGCATGGGTTTTTTAAAACGTCGCATGAATTATGTTAAACAAGATGATAGTTCTCAATGTTTCTTCTTGGAAGTGGACATGAGTGAAATTTAGATTAGAGGGACAGGATATGGATTGGAATATGGATGCAGTTCTCAGTAGTAATGACAGCGAATGATACTATGAAGCACAGACAGGCAGGCAGGCAGGCATATGAAGTTTCCGAGGGTCAGGAAGGTTAAGGGTCGCTTGAGGTCAGAGGGCAGAGCCGGGCCCCTCCGGCAGTGCTGGTGTTGCAGCTCCTCGCACCCCTAACCACGATGCTGTCCTGCGTGTCTCCTTTTCCCAGCTTGACGAACGGGAGTGGGTTCCGGCTCGGTTGCCTATCTCTAGGCAGAACAATCTTGCCTTTCTGGGTGCTGCAGAAGTACCTCTGATTTCCAAAAGCCGAGCTTTGCACCTGACCCTGCCTGTCATCGTTGAGGGAATTAGGAGAGCTACCCACAACGACTTCCGAGCCTCGTACTCCATCCCGGAGGGTGGGCACCCCGCCTCCCGCGTGGGGCTGTTCCCAGCCCTGCGTGGCGTGATGCTGGCACTCTCTCTGCTTGTAGATTCCCCTCCCTTGCACGTGGATGTGAAGACAGAAGAACTGGGCGGGGAGGGAGAGAGGCAGAGCAGAGGGGGAGCCACACAGACTGACACCACTGAGGAATCTGCGTTCTCACCTCTCTGTGGTTGGAACTACCCAACGAACAGACACCGCAGCCCAGAAGTGAGCAGACCTGGGTCTTATCCTGCTCTGTCCTGGCTTCCCCGGCTCCTAGAGTGACTTGTGTCCCCTCCTGGGCTGCCACAGCAGACTGTGGGGAAGATGGAGTGATTTACGGTGTCCTGAGGTGCCCAGCACCATGCCTGCAGAGAGGGGTAGCTCAGGTCCCTGCATGTCCCGCCACATGGACCCTGGGAAGATGCCAGAGCCTCCCGGCAAAGGCAAAGCACCCTACCTTTCTCTGCTCCCGCCTGGTCATGCTTCTCAAACAGCAGGTAGCGTGGGCTCTCGGGGAGAAAGGGCAGGCTCACCAGCTGGACCACAGCGGGGATGACAATCACTCCAAACAGGTACGGCCAGGTGCTCTCCTGCAGGGAGAAGAGGGGTCCCATGAGTGGGTGTGGCCTCCAGTCACTGCCTGGGAGCTGGGCCCAGACCACGCAGCTTCAGCTCTGCAGGAGGTCCCTCCTCTGCACCGTGGGACCCCCACCAACAAAGGCTGGGGCGGGGTCGGATACTGTTTAGCACCAGCCCCAGGTCTCTGGAATTCTCCACGAGGCCGTGGATCCTGTCAGGTGGCGACCTGTGGGGAGCTCTGAGAAGGAGTTCAGGGGGCCACAGGCTGATTCTGATTGATCCCACGACTCAAGGCACCAGGGCAAGCCTGGAGCGGCTTTGTCCTCCTGGGTGTGTGGCCTTGGAAACCACTCTCAAGGCCCACCGGTATCTCCATCTCTTTACCTGTGGTGTGGGGACAGCCCCAGTCACCTGTCAGGCTGTCCTGAGAATGGGATCAAGTCATGCTTTGATGGTGGGCCCTGGCGCACAGTAGGTGCACAGAGGAAACCATTGTTCATGCTAGTGCCACCACCTCGCCGCCTCCAAGGCCTGCGCTCTCCAGCCTGTCAGTGAATGGGGCAGGCAACACCGGCCTGGCTGCCAGGGCCTCGTGGCCAGGCCACCTCCAGAGCCATGTATCCTTCTGTCCCTGGGACTCAGGACGTCCTGTCTCCCGACTAACACTCACACCTACTCAGGCCACAGACTCAGAAGGCACCTAAACAATTGTTTTCCCCTGAGGCTGCCTTGAAGACAGAACAGTAAAGGTCAGGCAAGATTCAAAGTCTTTCTTTAAAATCCGTATGACATGACTTCAAGAATGATTGAATTTATTTTTGATTCCTTGGTTGATTCCTTGAAAGTTTGATTCAGCCTTCCTTGCTGGCAGACTGAGATCCTGGCTGACCGGATCAAGAGGTCCAAGTGCCCCCAGCCCCGGGCAGGCATCAGCACACACCACACATTACCCGAGAGGGCAGGAGGCTTGGGGGGCTTTGATGCGAGACCTTCCTTTGAGTGATGAGGTTAGGTCAGGAGAGGTGACCGGCCCAAAGCCACAGCACTGAGCACTGGGTGGCCCGAGTCTTGCCCACACTGCACACAGCATAGCAGGTGAGCGGGGGCTGGGGGAGTGGGCAGGGCAGGTGTCTGTTTGTGTTCTCAGAAGCAAAGCAGCATTAGGGAGCATCTTAAGGTCACAGACCCCGGTTGGATCTACAACGGTACAGAGACAAGACCTCTCAACACGAGAGTAAGAAGCTAGGAAATTTCCTGGGCAAGTGGAATGGGGAAACTGAGACAAGAACATCAAACAGAGCCACATGGTTTGAGCAATTCACAAGCAGCTGGTGAATCATAAGACCTATAAACCAGGGGTTTATAGTAGAGCCTCACCTGGCTGTAAACCACAGGTGTCCAGGGAAGAGAGGAATTCTAACGTAGATGCAATGGAGAGACAACACAAACCTAGGGAGGAAGCTTGGGAAGAAGCTGCCGATGCCCCTGTCAGCTCCCCCTCCCGAGAGAAACGGCACATCTGCGCCCCTGCTAGGAATTTTCCCTCCCAAATCCCCATGTTTCCCCATATAAACTTGCTTTTGAAAGCTCAAGGGAAGGCGGATGTTAGGGGTTTGCCAGCCTCCTGCTTAGACTGATGGCTTCTGCTATTAGTGAAGCGTGATTAGAATCCAGCCCCTGTCCCTGCCTTCTGGCTGGGCGGTAAAAGGCAGTGTGGACCCCAGACCCGGCTGCCCTCCGGTTTCACTCTGGCCTCGGTGCCTGGGAAAGACCAGCAGGTGAATGACCACTCGCCTCCACCGTCTCTAAGACAGGGTGATGTTTGGGGACAGCTGAAGTGGGACAGCGACCTCTAATGGCCACAGGAAAGAGGCGATGCCCAAGATATGCCCAGCACACCTTGCATGCAGTGAAGCTAAATGGAGCTAAGATTTTGGGAGTGGGTCCTAAATGCAAGGTATTGCCCTAAGAATTGTGTGTGTCACTGGTTGAATTCTCACAACGGTTCAGTGAGCTCTGCACATTTATCCTCATCTTACGGACCAAGATACAGAGGCACAGTGAGATTAAGGTGTCAGATTTTGTCCCAATAAGACTGGGTTTTGGCCATGGCTAGTGTGGCTCAGTGGATCGAATGCCGGCCTGTGAATCCAAAGGTCGCCAGTTCGATTCCCAGTCAGGGCACAGGCCTGGGTTGTGAGCCATGTTCCCAGTAGGGGACGTGTGAGAGGCAACCACACATTGATGTTTCTCTCCCTCTCTTTCTCCCTTTCTTCCCCTCTGTCTAAAAATAAATAAATAAACAAAATCGTTTTTAAAAGTATGATAATGCAGTACGATACTATTTTTCCCTGTTAAACATCAAAGAGTTAGTCAAACGGTTATGATGACAGCGCATGGTGACACTTGGCCCCCGCACACCGCTGGTGGGGAAGCTCGTCGAGGAAGCCCCTCGGCGTGGGAGGCCTCTGAGAACGTATGTAAAAGTCTTAAAGGAACTGGTGTTCTCACACCCATTGCTTCCTTTTCTTGGACCCTGAACTACACGAACAATGAGAGGTTTGAAAGACGACTTCTGTAGAAGACTGTTCACCCCTGGTTTGCAAATTGCCGTGTTTCCATAATACACATTGGAAACAATCCGAATGCTCAGCAATAAAAGAACAATGGAACATTATGGTAACTCATAAAAGAGAACACTGTACAATTATTTAAATTATCACGGCCAATAATTTTAATGACTGGCTCACAATACCGTGTTGCAAAATAATCACCAGAGTTATAAATAGAACGAACCCAGTGGTGCCTGTGTGTGTGTGCGCACAAGTTATATGCACAAAATGAAAAGGAATTTTAAAGCTGCTAGTGTTTACCCAGAAACGATGAGCTACAGAACCGTGAATGTTTTCATTTCCCGAATTCTTCCTTGTTGTGTGTGATGGGTGTACAATGGCAGCATCATAATCATAAAAATCGAGTGCGTAAAAGGAAGGAGCGAGAAGATTTACAGAACAGGCGTTTGTTTTGAGGTTTACCCGTGTTAGCGACAGACCAGAAGGAGCAGCGGCATTCAGTACCATGCACCTGCGAGGTGGGAGGTGACGTTAACGTATTTGAAGTGTGTGTCTGCGGAGAGTCTTCAGAGGCACCGGGAGGGGGTTCCGACTCGACGTCGGTGATTTTCACAGCAAAGCACAGCAGTGTTTCTGTCGTGACAGGTCGAAGAAGTGTGGAGACAAACCAGCCCATTAAAAGTGGCTGCCCCCCCCCAAAATGGCAGAATTTCAAGTGGCTTTGCTGCTTCTTCCTTTCTCCCTAATGTCCTCAGCTGAGCATGAAATATTGCTGTGGAGGGACAAAATGGACGTGTGTCAAGTATGAAGTGTGTCGCCGTCTGAAGGATGCTGAACGTCCTTCCAGGGTACACGGAACCACTCACTCATGACCCCGTGTCCCTCCCATGTCTTGTCCCCGTCTGCCCACAGTTTTTATCTAAGTTCCCTCTTTCTTTACCATTGCAGGAGAAATAGCTAGTTAGTATGTTTTTAAAAATAGCCTTTGGCTCTGGCTGGTGTAGCTCAGTGGATTGAGCGCGGGCCTGCAAACTGAAAGGTTGCTGGCTCAGTTCCCAGTCAGGGCACATTCCTGGGTTGTGGGCCAGGTCCCTAGTAGGGGGCACACAATTTTATATATTTAAAAATCTTTGAAAATATATACTTTGGAAGCATAAGGCGTCACTAAAATCCCACCCTCCACAGTATCCACGATGCATCTTGGATTCAAGTCACGACAGCACATGGATTCCGGCCCCTCTGTCCCTCCCCCGCCCCTGGCAGCCTGTTGGGACGCCTCTGCCGCCTCTGCACTTCAAAGCGACCACCTGCATCCACAACGCAGGGCAGGCTCCCTCTCTTTATCTTTTTTACAAGCCGGGTTTTTCTCTCTTTAATGTTTTTACAAGCTCAGTTGTCTCTGTCTTTGAAGGCAAATGAGAAAGAAGATTAATACAGAGAAAATGAAATTCTGACAGTGAAACAACCGTGGACCGCACTTGGCTGGAGCGTCACAAGTGCCCAAAGAGATGAATGGACATTTCCCATTTGATGTTCTTTCCTGGACCAGGGCCTGATGTCCCGGAGCGTGGACCAGAGAACCAGACGTTCACCGAGTTACTCACGTCCCCTCCTACCCAGTTCTCAGAGTATCCAAAAAACCCCAACCTGATGGGGCAAGACAGACCCTGGGAACCAGTGGCGCACCTTCCCAGCGGGCTCTGGTCAGGACGCAGACACGGGCACTGAGTCCCCTGGCCGGCGTCATGCTCAGGAGCCCTGTTTTTGCAGGGACGGAGTGCCCGCCCCGGAGAACCCCCCACACCAGAGTCCGGCAGTCAGCCCTGCCTTCCAGCCGCTCTGACTTGGGCAGTTTCCGTCAGGGGCCTTGTCATTCTACCGTCTGCCAAGCTGCCCCTTGCCTGCCAGGGAGGGCTCCCTCTCTTAGCATCTGGTCCCCCGTCCTCCCTGCATGACCTGCCACACATCAGAGGTCCCCGCCCGCAGACACTGCGTCCCATCACGCACTAAGCAATCTCCCCTGCCTGCCTCCACGCCCACCCCATTGCCCAAATCCAAGCTCCCAGCGTCTTTCCACTGGCGGAGTGTGACCTCCCAGGCTTGGCTGCACTTCCGACACCCAACTCAGTGATCGGCAAATGTGCTGAATGAGCGAATGCAGCGAGAACACAGAGGTACAGGGAAGACCTGGGAACTTGCATGGACTGAACTTGTTTGTCCCCTCCAAACATATGTGAAAATCCTAACCCTCGAGGTTACGAAATGAGCAGGGGGCCCTTTGGGAGGTGATTAGGTTATGAGGGTGGAGCCCTTGTGAATGGGACCAGTGACCTTATGAGAGGAGACACCAGAGGGATGATCTCTGTCGCCCCCAGGAGAGGACACGGAGAGAAGGTGGCTGTCTCTAGGTCAGGAAGGGGGCCCCCCAGGAACCTGGCCTGCGGGCACGCCCATCCCTGCCTTCCAGCTCCAGGATTCTGAGGATTGAACTTCTGTTGTCTGTAAACTCCCCAGTCTGCGGGATGTGTTGCAGCTCCCTGAAGCAGCTAAGACAGAATCCCAACAGCAGAAATGACCTGGTATCGGTTTAGAAAAGCGGACTCGGATGCGTGACGAGCAACTGGAACCTACCTCCAAAAGGAAAAAGCGAAACCTCTATCGGAACAGATGTCTACTTGCTTTCTAGCCCCTGGAGGACAATAGTGCTGTTCATTTAAGATATATTTTTATCTCCAGGGAGCCGAGGCTGTCATTGTTATATTGTGGGGTTCTTTTGTCACACACATAATATTTAAGATGCTTAGAATTTTAAAATAGCTTCGAAAACAAAAGGCAAGGAGTCTCTTCAGAACGAGCCTCACTTCGCCGGGGGGACGTTTCCAACATGCTGGCGTTCGTTATGGAAACTGAGATGCAGGCGATGGCCGCAGAGGTGAAGCGGGAGTTGTTTTTGTTTTTTGTCAACAAGAAAACAAACGGCGGCCATAAAATGTCGAAGCGTCTGTGACAAAAGATCAGAAGCAGACCCCTCCGAGGTGAAGCGGATCGGAGGAAACACAAAGAAGCCACACCTTGTGCTGTGAGACCGTTCGCTCTCGGGTGGTGAAAACGGCAAAGCCGTGTGTAACGTGTGTGTGTTGTCACAGTGAACACAGTCAGCAGAGCATCCCAGACAGTTGAAGGACAAGTGCCAACCAGGTCCCATCACCCATCCTGCCTCCGTGCGGCCACCGTGCCGGATCCCTCCGTTTGGACAAGCTTCCCTGAGTGAGGCAGGTGCCGCTCTAGGATTTCTCAGCTCAGGAATGAAGGGGACCTGAGTCCCTGTTACCTAGGCTTTCCCTGCGATCCTGTGATTTATAACAAGAAACATATACTTGGTCTTCTATTTCTGGCACGGAACTTCTAAAACTGAAGGAATTTCCTAAGTGAGAGGAACAATAAAGGTGTCTCGATATTTATAACAACCCCCATCCATCCACACCTGAGTTTAGTTAATGAGGTGACTCTTGGAAAGCACCTAAGGGTGAGAGCTGGTGGCCAAGGGAGACAAGCCTGGCTTAGGGGGTCGGGATTTTCAGCGGCCCCTGCCTGACCTCCGGGCTGTGATTTAATTAACCGGGTCTGTGTGATAAATGCTCCATAGAAGGCCAGGGACTGGCGAGCGCCCACAGGGCAGGGGCGCGTCCCTTGTGCTCTGTTCTAGTACATTTGACATTCGACCTTCGCTCAGGGTCCTCTCCTCCCTCCTTCCTGGCCCACAGGTGTAGGTGGGGAGGGAGAGTGTCCGCATCCCTGCAAGGCGTCCAGCTGTTCTCCTTCCCTCATCCCCCCAGACACTCCGGCAGCAGGCCCTGGACTCACCCGCCCGGCCTCTCTATCCCCAGGCTGCTGCCTCAGTTCCCCCTCCACGCCCCAATCACAACAGCCTCCTGCCGGGCCCTTTCCTGCCCTCCCACCCTTCCACTCCCTCCCCCAAAGCCTCCTGTAACTCGGGTCGGTCACTCACCTGCTCTAGTGCCACCTGCCCGGGGCCCCCTGTTCCCCAGGACAGTGTTGGGGCAGCTCAGTGAACGGGGCCTCGTGTCATGCTCCCCACACAGGCCCGAGCTCCCCACTCAAGCTCCCCACTTGGGGCTCGTCTCTCGGCCCCAAGCCACTCTCTGGTCCCTCACCAGGCTGTGCCCCATCTCACGACTGTTCCCGATCTCAGCCTTTCCTTCCCTTGTGCTCTTTCTCTGCAATGTCTTCTCTCCAAACCCCATCATTACCCGCCTCACTTCTGCCCACCCTTCAGGGCTCAGTTTTGAGGCCACTTCTTCCGGGAAGCCTTCCTTGTCCCCAAACCTGAGGGAGGCTCTCCTTGCCAAGGCCCCACAACGAGTGAAGTGTTGGACTGGGGTTCAGAGTCAGGCCTTTCTGCTTTCAAAACAGAAAGCCCCAAACAGAAGATGGCCATTGCCTACTCAGGTAGGAAAGGAAGGCTCAAGAGTGAGATAGAGCTGAGCAAAACATCTTAGGAAGGTGCCCGACATCCATAAAATGAAAACAGCAAGTTGAGGGGCGATGCACCTGGCGTGATGCTGTTCCCAAACTGTACAGGCTTGTACGGCTTTGCAAAAGTGTAAATGAATTCTAGCTGAGCTGTTAGCAATAGCTGTGGGGTGGGTGCATTTGAACATTCTGTAAGGTTAGAATTTGTTAGGGTTCTTTATAACCTAAAAAAGATAATCAAACCCGAAGTATTCAACAGTAACTTTTCTGCAATAATAAGTGAAAGGCTTGAATGTTCAGGAATTCCAAGGCACAGGTCCAAGCTTTTGGAGGAAGGGCTCACCTCTGACTGCCCTTTGTCCCACAGGGACATGGGGACCCAAGATGGTGACATGAAATGAGAACAGCCATGGCGGGCTGGAGAGCCACGCTTACCTGGCCCAGCAGCTCAGGCAAGCCCAGCAGCTGTCCGGCGAAGACGCCAATGCAGATGAAGATGGCAGTCACCTGTCCCAGAGAGCCACGGATCTCCTTGGGCGAGATCTCGCTCAGGTACATGGGGAGCACGCTGAGGGCAATGCCTGCGGAGGAAGCATGGCAGTGACAAGAGTCATCTTCTCCGAGGGAGGAGCACTCGGGGCAGGGAGGAAGCTGCCTCTCCTTAAGGAAGACTCTGGTCATGGCGCCTCCCTCTGTTTGACAAAGATGGGGCGGTAGCCACAGCCCCATTCCCAGCACTCAGCACAAACCGCCGGTGCTTCAGCACGCACTGTGTCATTCAGTCCACGAGGTGTGGCTGGGAGGTGGGTCCCACAGAGGAGGAAACAGCTGATGATGGCAGTGCCGGTGCTGCCGGTGGTGGTGCTGGTGATGGTAGTGCTGTGGTGGTGGTGGTGATGGTGGTTGTGATGGTGACGGTGATATGGTGGTGATGATGGTGAGGACGGTGATATGGTGGTGATGATAGTGATGGTGATGGTGGTGATATGGTGGTGATGATGGTGATGATAGTGATGGTGATGGTGGTGATGGTAGTGATGGTGATATGGTGGTGATGATGGTGATGGTGGTGATATGGTGGTGATGGTAGTGATGGTGATGACGGTGGTGATGGTGATGCCTGTTTGGTGTCAGTGTTCTTTCTTTAGAGAAGCCATGTAGGCCTTGAATTTCCTTTGTTGAAAGGTTTTAAATGACATGTTCAACTAATTTAATTAGTTGAGGGACTATTTGGATATCCTATTTTCTCTTCTGTCAGTATTGGTGTTTTTTTTTCCTTTTTAAACATTTGTACATTTTATCTAAAATTTTCAAATATATTGCATGAATGTGTTCACGTCTCTGAACCTCAGTGTCCTCATGTAAAATGACAAACAGCTCCTGGGAACTCAGGAACATGTCCCCGCCCACCCCAGACCTGGAGAAGCCTCACCTCCGTCTACGCCCATGACAAAGCGGCCCACGACGAGCATTTCGAAGGCTCCCGCCCAGAGGGCACAGGTCATCAGCAATGCGGCAGCAACCGCAAAGAGGTTGTTGGCCAGCAGCGTGTGCTTCCTGGAAGAGAAGGGGGTTCGATGAGGAGGCCCAACCACGAGGCTGTCACTGGCCTGTCCAACCAGGAGCAGGGTCCCCCGTGGCCCCCACAGCCACCTCTGGCTGTGTGATTCTGAGTGAGGTACTTGCTCCCTCTGGGAGCACAGCGGGGGGTGATCGCCATGACCATGGACTGCTCTGCACAGGACTGTCATCACTGTTTCATGAACACGTCCCTGAAACTTCAGGTTTAGAAGCGTGACTTGTGTGGAGGTCCGGGACCTGGTTCCCACACCAGCTCCCTCTTTTAGGAGCTGGACGACTTTGCAAAATGATCACAGTAGCTCACATGTATGGGACTCTTGCTCTGTGACTGACCTTATATACTCTTTACATGGGTAGCTCATCCATGGCTTGAAATGACCCTATCGGGTAGGGAATAGTCCTATTCCTGTTTTACAGAGAAGTTAACCAGGGGACAAATTAGAAACTTGTTTGCGGTCACATGACTAGTGAGTCAAGGAGCTGGGGAAACATCTTAGCCTCTCGCAGGGTATTTTTTCCCCCAAAGACTCAATGAGTTAACAGACATTAAATTGTTTTATAAATTGTAAGAAGCTCAAGATTGAAGAGGGGACTTTGTTGTTGCTTTTAGGAGTTAGAGCTCCTCCTACTTTGTCTTCCCACTTCCTATTCCGCTGGGCGTGGAAGCAATCCAAGAGGCCCTTCCCATGTTCCTTCTGCACGCACGGGCCCGCCTCTGTGCCCAGACACTCCGCTGCCCTTGACCCAAGCGCGGGCCCTCCCCACTCCTCTCCGAGGGCAAGCCCTCCAGGTGCCTGCTAGCTGGCCACCTGCTGCCAGCCACTCAGGGATATTGCTTCATCGAGTTTCACCTCTTGGTCCTGACTATCCATTTTTCTCTCTCTGCTGGAACATCTCATTCACGTGCTGCCGTAGCTCCTATCTTGAAAGAAAGCACAAGAACAGTGCTCCTGGGCCTCCAGCTTCTTCCACGTACCATCGTCTCTGCCCCCCCACGTGGAACTCCTCAAAAGGAGCATCTCACTGATTGTCTCCACTTCTTCATCTCTCCTTCTCTCTCACACCCACTCCGATGCTTGTCCCCTCTGTGGTGCCCTTGAAACGACTGTTGACCTGGCACCCAGCAACCTCCATGATGCTGAATCCATCACCGGAGCTCACGTCTCGCCTGTTTTCTAGGCAGTGTTGGGCACAGTGGATTGCCACCTCCTTCTTTCTCTCGATTTCCAGATCACACCCAGTGTTGGGTCCGTGCCCATCTCGTTGGCCGATATTTACCATCTTCCTAACCCTCCAGAGAGCGGAGAACGCAATCTGCGGCAGCTTGTTGGGATGACAGTGAACTTGAACTGGGCACTGACTCTGCATCAGTCCCTGAGACGAACCCTTTACATACACACAGCAGTCCTGTGACTCAGTCTTCATTTTCCTGTGAGCCAGGGGATGCCTGGAGACTTTGAGACACACATCCTCACTCCACAAGCTGTGAGTATAGAGACTCAGGCCTGAGCCTGTGGCCAGCATCTGTGTAGCCACATAGATGGTCATCATCCTCTCTCTTACTAAAGCCATGTAAGCAGAGGACAAATGGCCCCACATGAGGGACTGGGACTCAAAAGCAATCTTCTAAGTCCAGGATTCCCCAAGCTGGAGAGTCCAGGAGACCAAGATCCTGCTTCCCCGAGACCAGATAATGGGATGGCTCATATCCAGAGATGGTCCCCAGCCCTTGTGCACCCTGTCCGCATCCCTCTCCTGAAGCCCAGGTGAGTTTGACATGCCCTACCTGGATTGGCCACCTGGTGGACCTACCTGTGACTGCACCTGCCTGGCTCCCAGGGTGCCCAGCTCCAGCTGAACCTCTCTCCCAGCCCCTTCCACTGGCCCTGACCCAGCCATGCATGTCAAGTCCAGCCTTTCCCTCCTCCCCGACGGCCCCCAGCGGGGACTGATAATGAGGTCTCCAGAAGCATTGCAATTGGCACCATGTGGCGTCAGGAGTGTGGGCTCGTGGCTGAGCAGACCCAGACCCGAGCTGCAGGCTGGCTGTGTCTGCGGAACCTGGGCCACCCTGCTGGTCCTTGGACCCGTCTCCTGTGGACAACTTCCCGGCCTTTTGGCTTAGATCAAGTATAAAATCTCTCCAGGTGAACTAAGTAGCATTTGCTGTCTGCTGGGATCCTGACTATAACCAGACATATCATGAACACTATGGAGAGAATCTGCAAACAGAGACAGACTCACTGACCTCCCCAGAAACTTTCCAATCAGCTTCACCAGTAACGTCCCCACGAGTCCTCCGATGGCGAATATCGACACGGTCACTGACCAGAGCAGAGTCAAAGTGTCCGGGTCTATCGGCTGTCCGAGCCTTCTTTCCCATGTCTCGTTGTAAAAGGCCTTGATGTGCTGCAAACAGATGGTAAATCAGGTTATTGTCAACTGTTGCAGGAAGCCGGCTGGTCTGGAAACAAAACAGCTGGGGCAGGACGTGTTCTCCCTGCTCGGACCACGCTAAGTTCCATTCGAGCTACATTTCATCGTCTGCTCCTAGCTGCGTTTATGGATGGGCCCTGTTTTTTCACCCCATTTTGCAGATAGAGAAACTGAGGCTCCAAGAGACAAAGTGACTTGCAGAGTTAGTGGCAAACCTGGGACACAGACTCAGATCTGACTCCAAACCAAGAGTGGGTGCGATGCCCAGGCTTCTCCAACATCGGTGCCCAGGAGAAAGTCCTGGGAAGGGTGTTAAAGATGTGCACGCCTAACACAAGAGAATACCTGTCCAGGTGGCAGGCCAGGACACAAAATCAGAAAACACTAAGTGTGAAAGAAAAACAAAGTGGTCATCTGCATTTCATCAAAACTAAAGACTGAGAAAACATATTTGCAACACATATATTACAAAGGACTGGCATTCACAATCTATGAATAACTCACGTGAGCCAATAAGAAAACACACGACCCAATTTAAAGGGAGCACAAGACTCAAACAGACTCCAGAGAAAATCCAAGTGACAAGTGAGCTAATGACATGATGCCCAACATCATTCATGAGTCAACAGGGCAGTGCAAATAACTGTGAGATACCCCTCCACACCCATCAGACCCTCATCTCTATCAGTTTAATGCAGTGCATTTGGAAAGGGGACCAGGTGACTGGGATGTGAACCAAAAGCTGAGGTCATGATGCTCCCCTAAGGGCTCCATCCCCGAGATGCTCATAGTCACCCACTGCTACCCAGCATGGGCCCACAAAGCTCTCCAGAGCCAGCATATGATGCTGGAAAATCATAGGTTCAAGTTGCAAAGACCTGGGCATGAGTCCCAGCATCATGATTTGCTCATCATTTAAAACTGTGGGATCCTGGTCTCCTTATCCACAACATGGGAGCCACCACACTGATGTCTCGGGGCCGTTCTGAGGCCCAGACAGGAGCCTAGCACTGGGGGGAGGGTTCCCACAGCCCCAGAAGCCCGAGACCTGCGCGTCTGGCGAGGCACCCAGGGACCCGCCAGCAGCATGTGCCCTCCTGCACTGGCAGTGGGACTTCAGTTTGTCCAGCCACCCTGGAAACCAGTTTGATGGCACCCCTAATCTATTGATTGTCCCACCTGTAATATCCATTTCTAGAAACTTCCTCTAAAAACCTCTTTGCCTCCTGGCCTGGGATTTGTCTGTGCAAATGCCCTCTGCGGTGCTGCACACAGCCACGGGGGCTGCCATGACCGCCGACTGCCCCCCTCACTGCGCTGTCAGCCGCTGGTGTTAACACTGACCCTTGGTTTTCATGTTCTCCGGTGGCATCTGTCATCTTTTTGGCTGCCCGGAGTCAGAAGCCCCCGTCCCATTCGGGAGTCATTCCTGCCTTACAAGCCCAGTGGGAAACAGGGCCCACTCATCACTGCGGAGGTTGGAAATGCCAGACACCTGCCCTCCCGGCATCACTTGTAGCTAGGGAGTAGACACGTGATTAGGACTCAGCCAATCAGAGGCCTGGACTTTGCAAGAGGCTCCTGAAGCTAAGGAATGGGACCAGGAAGGCTCTACCCTTAGCGGAATCTCCCTGGCAAAAGTGGCTTTGGGGTGGTGGCAGGGGCCCCATGGGAGCTGAGATATTATTCCAGGGGCAGTAGATGGCAGAGGTGGCTGCAGGGGACCCCCAGGCCCAGCTCTGGTGTGCTTTGAGGTGTTGTCCCAGGCTGCAGAGCTCCCGGGCCTGGCTGGCCAGCCCTCCCATGGACCCTGCAAGTGGCTCATTACTTTTTCAACACCTCTTTTTTTTTTTTGCTTCAATCAGACGAAATGGTCGTTGTCACTTACAACTGCTGAAACTCTGCCAGAACATTTGCACTCTCCCGTTTGATCCCCACGACAACCCTAGTGGGGGAGGCCTTCATTTTCAGAGGAGGGAAGCAAGGGTGTTGTCAGTCGCTCAGTCACACGGCTGAGGTGGTGGAGGAGGATTTGTGGGACATCAGCCTGACCTCAGAGCCCAAACACACCCAACCACTGGTGGCCTCTTTGTTGCACAGCGAAGGTGTGGGAGGGAAGCACTGAGTCCGATGCACACTCATTGATTCAACAGTAGCCTCAGTGAAGCCCTCGCTGGGGGCTAGACACCCTGTGGCCCTGATGAGTGCGGCAGCCACAACCCTCCAGGAGCCCAGAGTAGAGCCGGAGAAACTGTGATAATTTCCAAGCTGAAGGGATGGAGGGGTCCCCGGAAGGCAGGGGTGCAGGAGGCCCCGGGGGCAACAGCAAGTGTTTATGGGGCCGAGCCCCTTTGGAGAAGCTGGAAGGAGTACCCAGGACTTCATAGGCACCCCTCCTTCTCGCTGTCCAATAAACAGGGGACCCCCATGCATAGAAGGAGGTTCTTGGATGTGCCCTTGGCCCCTAAAGCTGTCCTGCATGGATTCAAGCAAGTGCAGCTGCCTTGCGGATCCCCACCCCAGAGGCTCTCATTACACACAGGCAGCCGTGACCAGTTTTCTGGAGTTCATGTGCAGAGACTAAGAAGATGCTGTTTGGAAGGAAGCTCACTCTTTTTCTTTCCATGCACTCAGGAGGCTGGAGAGAAAGGGGGCAACTTTCTACCGCTCACTGTCCGTGTTGCTGAGGGGTGTCCGCAGAGAGCGGGGCAGTCTGGGAGAGAGGCAGGCCTGCCTGTGCACGGGCAGGAGCACCTTTCTCCACGGCTCCCTGACAGCTGGTTTCTAAGGGATGCCTTTGGTGATTAAATGTCTGTCTTCACCCGTGCAAATCCAGCCAACACCTCAGTGCAAGGCAGCCCGGAGGCTTACGTGGCCTCAGGAGTGTCCAGCCGCAGCTGGGTCCAGGGGTTCCTGAAAGGTGGGTAAGGCGTCGGTGATGGGTAACAGACAACAACACGCCTCAAAGGACAGTGAAGCTCTGTTCCATTTATTGCAAGTACAAGCAGGTTTTTATATTTCCTTTTTTGGTGGTGATTAACATTTGCAGCATAGCATGAGCAGTTAAGCAGAAAAAATCAATACAAAGGTAATCAGGAAAAGTACAAAAGTTCCCATAGATTCAGTTCTATTAAACAAAGATTATTTTGACCAGCAGAGCCATAAATCAGACAATTAGAAGTAGCTGTATGTACAGAATTTGAATGTCTTAATGTTTATTAAAGTTTCTCAGAATTTGTCATGGGGTAAAAGGATACGCTAGATTGAGTAGAGGTAATAGGAAATTTATTATAAGGCCTTTGTGATGTCTAACTTAGCTATTTATCTTTCTGTCTAAAATGTTTCTCTGTGTACTATAAACTCTAACTCTTTAGTAACTGTTTCTACATGTTTAGTTTGTAATAACTAGCCAGCTTTTGTTATTTCTTTGCCTAATTGATATATATTCTTATTCAAGGTAAAGGAGGGGCTGTTACTTCAACAACTTCTAAACATTCAGGGACTATTTCACTAGAGGGAACTTTGTTCTCTGGTCAAGAAATTGTTTTGTACAACTTCATAGGAATTGTGCAAATCAATGAACCTTAAATACAGGTGTCTAACAATCCCACCACCTTTTGATCACCCAAACAAACATGTAAGGAGAGACAGACAGGAAATCCAGCCACAGTTGCCTCTGCCTTGCAGATGCATTTCAACCGTCCCGACCATATCCCTGGGCTCTGTATAGTTTCTACTCGTTTCCTTGGAAGACCCTTTGTATCTGTGGGTAGGGAACAGTCGTGGGAAAGTCTTTCTGATCTGTTCTTCCCTCAACTGTTGGCAGCGCAACCTGTGTTTGCAACGATAATCTGGTTCTTTATTAACTGGCCTTAACTGTTGACTTAAGAGATCTAACTTGTTTTTCTTATTTCTGGTACACCATGGCGGTCCTGATCGCTTTAAGTTGCTCAAACCAGGGTCATTTATACAACTTGACATGTTTTCCCTTATGGTTAACAATTATATCTCCCTGGCCGTCGTACTCCCCTGTACAAGGGAGAGGGGAGTCTGTGGGGATTTTTCCACCCTTTCAGGCAGTTCCGTGGGGAATGCTAATGTTTTCCCCTGAACTGTCCTTTCCCCTTGGGTGATTTTCACAGGAATAAGTAAGTGCAGTACAATGCCTATATTCAGTAGCAAGAATAAAATAATTAAAATAAAACAGCCAATTGTTAACCCATTTTGGATGCCATGTTCTCTTCCGGGGAGACGAATTCCTTGAACTCGAGTCCTCCATGCCCGGACCTTGTCAGACAACATGGTTGGAAGAGGACGTGGCACAGGAGCCCGGAGATGAAGGCTGTTCTGCTATTTGTACAAAAACCCACCGAGTTCGAGATTCGTGGACCTAATACCTGTGGACGTCGACTTGTAGTGCACGGCTCATAACAGCTACTTAAATAAGCATTTGTGCTTTAATCGAATCTCTGCTCTGAGTTACTCACAGTATAATAACGGAAATAGGTAACCCATACATCTTATTTATACACTAAGTCCTCACTTAGCATCATCAATAGTGTCTATGACTTACAGCAAAATGACAACCAATAAAATCAGTTGACCTCAGTCTCATGGATAAAAACAAGAGTCAAGCTCCTACGGTACCTCATCGATGGTGTAAGGCAAGGACGGTGAGCGAAACGACATCTGTGGAAGGCCTGCTGGCCTCGCTAACCGCGAGGACCACCTCATTCACGGATTCCACGGTTGACCTCCCTGTACTCGGCCTCCAGGAGGCCCATGCTGGGTCTTTCTAGCAGCTCTGCATCCTGCTTCCTTACCTCCTGTTCCCAGCCTGTCTCAGGACACAAGCTCTGCAGCCCCTGTTCTCAAGGAGCCTGGGACCTAGTGGAGACCACAGCAGGGGAAACACTCAACAAGAACACTGGTGGAAGGTGCTGGGGAAGGCTGCGGAAACCCAGCCTGGAACCCAGGTCGGGGGAGCCAGAAGGGCAGGCGGGGTGGACCTGGGTGGGCCCAGGGTGGACGAGAGCGGTCAGAGCTCTCAAAGGCTCAGAGCTGGAAGCCACGTGCTGCTGTGGAGGAACCACAGATGATGCGGCGGCGTTGGGGGCTGGCCCAGCGGTGGGTGGGAGAAAGGCCGGAGAGCGAGGCTGGGGCTGGTCGGAACCGGCCTGCGTTTAACCTGGGGGTGCTGGGGAGTGATCGGCGGATCCGTGCTCGGAATCCAGGGATGGGATGTGCGGGTTGGATCACTGTAGGTGCTGTGTGGAGGCTACACAAGGAGGTTCAGACTGGGGCCTCTGGACCAGTCAGGAGACTCTTCTGATTGGTCAGGTAGGATGAGGTGGATGGAATCTTTGAATGAATTCACCAAGAAATATTTATATTTTCGTAAGTACTGACTGGAGCTCAAATTGCCAAGCAGTGAATAAGAAGCTACATGGTGAGAGGACAAGAGGCTGAGCCAAGAGCCAAGAGTCCTGGGTGCAAGGCTTGCTCATGCCCAGAGTCTGTCTGTGACCTCCAGCAAGTAAGTCTCTCTGCCTCTGAGGCCAGGCTCTCTGTGGGGCAGGGCCCTGTGAATCTACTGTATTCAACTCTCTTCTCTGCCACTTCCCTGCTGGGTGACCTTGAGTGCGTTACTCAGCCTCTCTGGGCCTCAGGTTCCTCATGTGTGAAATCCTTTCCCTCCTTAAAGAGTGCCCGCACGGATTTCACGTGGGGACGAGCAGAGCTCAGTGCGGGTCCACACAAACCTCACAATGAGACTCGGAAGTCGGGGCGGCTGGTGGTGGTGTTGATGTCACTATGTCTGTACAATAAGGGTCCCAGACCTGTTCCGTTCTCGGGCCTATGGATCCATGAATGATTTGCTGCCGCCTCCCAGCCAGTGACTCAGAGGCCAGGCTCCTCGCCACACGCTGGACTTCAATCTGCCATCAGGCAGAGTTGCTCAGAGCACTTCCAAGGGATGACAGCAAAGTGCCAGACAGTGGGAGGTAGATGACCGCGTGGCCTGCTTTCCGGTCTTCCTGTTCCCCACTGATTCACACAGAGCCTGCCAGGACTCCGCCTACAGTCCCCACAGGAGAGCTGTACAAACGCACGAAAACAGAGCATGTCTTTGGAGGGGCTGGAGTACACGGCCCCGCCTGTCACCAGCACAGGGCCTGAGGGGTCGGTGAGGATGGGCCACACCTCGGACCGCCCAGCCACAGCGAGTGGAACAGTGTGGCTGGCCCTTACGAAAGTGCCAGCCGCCAGACCAGGCTCTTTGAGGGAAGGACCACACAAGGACAAAATTCCTTAAGCCCAGCACTGCCAGCTAATGTCACCTGCATGGCAGAGCGAAGGCCTCCCGTGCAGAGCCGCGGACATAGCTGGCCCAGGGCTGCTGTCCTCTGAAAGGCCGGTTTGCACGGCAGCCCTGGCCTGGCTGCAGGGAACATTGACGTAAATGATGAACTTGGATGTATTGAGACGGGTTCATCGATTGTAACAAACGCACAGCCCCAGCGGGGGACGTGGACAAAGGAGGCTCTGTGTGCAGATGCCCCGGGGGACAATACACAGGAAATCTGTACTTTCTGTTCAGTTTGGCTGTGAACCAAAACCTGCTCTAGCAAATAAAGTTTCCTTAGGCTTAAAACCCTTTAGAAACAGTGGCAGAATTGGCCCTTGCTCATGTTCCCACAGTTGTTGTCCAAACCATTATTTATCCGCCCACGTCTTTCTATTCCAGGTTCACGTTTCATGTCGGGCTGCCGGTGCAAAGGTTCCCCACCCTCCGCTGGAGTTTCAGCCGAACTGGCACAATGAAGCAAGAGTGTACGTTCCCAGCCTCTTTTAAAGACAAATATGGAGCAATCAGATCTCCATCTTAAGATGACATCCCAATGACAAAACCGAAGCCACGGACAGCTGTGAGCATCAGGAGACACCGTTTCGACCCTCTGGTTTTCAAACTGTGTTTAGCATCGGAATCAGCTTTCCAAATGAACTTGCACAGTTAACAGTAACAAAAGATGTCCTTCTGCCCTGCGCTCTCCAAAACGCGTCCCACGCCCCAGCCGTGTCACACCTGCATTTCTTCAGCGTCCCTGCGCCTGGTTCCTCTGTCAGGCCTCTGTGCCTTCGCTCCACCCTCAAGACACAGCTGGGCCTCACCTCTGGGAAATCTTTCCTTGCGCCCCATGCACCTCACCCCAAGGTGGAGGCGGGTCCAGTAGAAGCCAGCACCCCCAGGAATGGGCAGTGCCTCAACCTAATAACCCAGACAGGTGAGAGCCAAACCTTCACCTGCAAACCAGCAGGGCAGTGGTGGGGGGAGCGGGTGGGCCGCTGGAGGAATTGTACCGAGAGACGCGATTCCAGAGAAAACAAAAGCCAACAGTGGATCTTAACCAACACGTTCTCAAGTGACCTCTAGCTCTGGTGAAAAGACATGCACACGGACAGAACGAATCAGGAAAGTGTTCCTGCCTCTGGCCCCTCTGTGGGTCCTCGGACTCCGAGCTCCGTGCCCTAGACTAAGACCCTTGGGATCTCCCCTGGCAACTCCGGAGGCCTCCTCCTCTTCCTACTCTCCAGCCTCCAGGAACCGACACTTCCCCTGCCCTGGATGCCCCTGCTCCTGTATTTTCCACCTTCAAAGGCGGGGACTGGTGTCCTCTCTGCCCCTCCCCTCCCTCAGCCACCCCCAGGGTCTGGCGCAGAACCTGCCCCACAAAGGTTTGCACTATCCGCTACCAGCCAGCACCAGGTGCCCCCTGCCCAGCACATCCATGGCTGTGGGCACTCACCTGCGTCGGGGCATTCACCACGGAGAGGTTGTACCCGTAGAGGAAGGAGGAGCCGAAGGCGCCCACGAGCGAGGCCACGATGAGCCAGCAGGACCAGCCCTGGAAAGGAAAGACGGCAGGTCAGACCTGGCAGTCAGCTGTTGCAGCTGAATGTGGCCAGTTTCCGACCACACAGGAGCACAAAGCAAAGCCAGGCTGAGCTGCCGGCAGTAGCCCCTGGCCTGTAGAAGAGCTACAGGCCAGGCCTTGTTCTAAGCACTGTCTGGGTATCACGTTGTAGAATTCACACATCAGTGCTACTCTGTCCTGATTTCACAGGTGAGAAGACAGAGGCACAGAGCTGCCCCCGGTGGTCCGGCTCCAGCCCCAACACCCACTGAGCCCACGGCCTCTCTCCTCCTGCCTCTGTATCTGGACGGGGGTCTCAGGCCCTGAGGCTCCTGACAGGCTCACTGACGTGCCCACACCCCCACCCCCATGGCTGCAGGCTGAGGCACCTGTCTTACAGGCCAGTTTGAACACCTTGGGACAAGGACCTGCAGACAGAGAGTTACAGGATGTGGCATCCCCGCAGCCCTGCCCTGTGGCTCCATCCAAGAACGGCCACGGCCACGGCCACGGCCAAGCCAGAGAGCAGAGACATCTGGGCCCGCTGGTAGAGGCTGGCCTGCTGGCAGAAGCTGGAGTGGGTAGGGCTGCCCTCCTAGGCTGGCCTGGGGAAGGGGGGCCGCTCACCAGGTGGAGGGGCCCGGGTCTTCTCAGCAGGCACGTCCTCTGCCATCACTGAGTGTATGCGTGTCCTAAGTGCCAGGCCCTGATGAAGCTTGGGTGGTGCGGCAGGACACACGGCCGATGAGGTCCACAGTTCAGGGAAGTGTGTCCTCAGATACTCTTTGGAAGGGGCCACGGGACCCCTGCGGCCAGTTCCCTGCTCTGCCCACCTCGGTAGCCTCCTCTAGCGTCGGCTGGACGCCAGATGACCCCGCCCCGGGCTGTGGAGCTGCACCAGTTTCCTGATCCTCCTGGGGCTGGGCTTCCCAGCTGCACCGTGGGGTCTCGGCAATAGCTCTGGTTGCACGGCCGTGGAGGGTTGACATGTTGTGGGTGAGGACGATTAGGGTGTTCCGTGCGTGTGTGTAGGGAGTGTGCAAAAAGGATGTTGACTCTGTTCCTCTCCCCACCCCCTTCAACCCAGTCACCCAGAATGGCTGCTGCCCGAGTGACGTGCCGGTCTATCTTGACCTGGCCTGGCTGGCATCCACCTGCGGTCCTCCCTTCTAGAGACTGCCTATGACCCGTTGCCCACGTCTCCCCCCGAAAGCTCCACCTCCTCGTTTTACATCTGTCTGCTCTGTCTGACCCCCAGCTCTGCCTCTTTGGACTGTGTGGTCTTAGACTGGTGGAGAGCTGAGCGGTGACTCAGGGGCCTCATCCGTAAGATGGGCGTGATAGGGAGCTCACCCCCTGAGACAACAGGCTGGAGAAAGGAGCTAAGGCAGGGAAGGTGCTCGCCTGTCTGGTGTCCGTTGCCCGTGTCAGCAGCAGAGGCTGGCCAGCGGGCGGGGGTCTTACTTTTACGGGTGGTGGTCTTGCCTTTGCTCTCTGCTCCCAGGCTCTGAGCCCGCGGCAGGAGAGGCGCTGACGACGGAATGGAGGGTGAGACGGGGGCGTTTATGGGTCGTGGGGATGAGGACGGTCAGCCTCTGTACCACGGGTTCCGCCTCATGGATTCAACCAATCACAGATGGAAAAGTTACATTGTTGCGGCCACGCAGTCCGTACTCTCCTGTGTGATGGTCGTGTCTGTGTTGAACACGTACAGACTTTTTACCTTGTCGTTAGTCCCATATCAATCCAGTATAACGACTGTTTACACCGTATTAGGTATTATAAGTGAACCAGAGATGATTTGAAGTGTACGGGAGGATGTGCAAAGGGTCTGTGCAAATATTGCAGCATTTCCTACAAAGGAGATTTTGGGGTCCGTGGGAGTTCTGGGGCCAGTCCCCTGTGGATATCTGGGGACAACTGTGTTTTCCTGCACGGGAGGATCTTGAACTTAATGGGATTCGTTGAAGAACAGAACCACACTTTGGACAAAACACCATTCTCTGTCACCTGTTGTCTTTGAACTCATCCTCTGGGTCTCAGCTCAGATGTCCCTCCCCTGCTGCCCCACCTGAGCTGGACACCTTCTCTCCTGGGGCCTCCCTTGCTTCCAGCACCGTCACTCCTGCTCTGAGCGGCCCGCCTGAGCCCACCGCCCTCCCCAGCAGCCCCAGGGGCAGAGGGTGCCTGCCGTGGAGAGGGGGAAGGAAACAGAGACACTGCCCAAAGTGGTCTTGTCACACGAATGAGCATGGTCAGACTGACGGGAAGCGCTGTCAGCCCCAGGAAACTGTGGCTGGAGAGCTGGCCAATGTCACAGGGGCCGGGGTGCGAGCCTGGTGGCCTGTGGGGCAGGGCAGTCACAGGCACCCACTGCCACCCACACAGGGACTCTGAGCCCTCCAGGTGGGCAGAGGCCCTGTCTCCGTTTACCTGGTTTCTCTTCCCACTTGGCTTCCCGCTCCTGGGCCAGGATCCCTTGGGGGGCCCCTGGTGGCGAGGGCCCTGCATGAGGGGGGCTGAGCCGAGCTCCTGGGAGTCCATGCTCCGTTCCCCGCAGCACCCAGGGCATCTCGGGCAACTGGGAGAGGAGGCAGAGTCCACGGGAGGGGGCAGGGCACCACACAGGAAGTGTGGCAATTCTCTCTTGTACGAACAGGAAATGGACAACATTTCTTTTTGTTCCCCTCCTGTTCCTAAGTCATAACAGCAGTTGGAGTAACCAGGGAAAACTGTCTTCTCAGGAATCACCCCCAGGTGATTCGGAAATTTTGTATTTTTTATTTTCCTTCTTAGCAAGGCCAGAGCAGGGAGGGGAGAAACTAGTGTAAACCCAGGGTGCATCTCCCTAGGGGCCGGAGCAGGTGAAAAGGTCACTGATAACCGCAAAGAGGCCTGATGGAATTCCAGCCCTGACCCCACCCCTTTTTTCTCTTCTGATACTTTTCATCAGCATGTGTGAGACACAGTGCCAATCACCCGTTTTTTCCTACTGTGTCCGTAGGCAAATTGCTTTGCTTCTCTGAGCTACCACATGGGCTAGTGCAAAAGGAGAACTGATCCTGCCCTGGTTGTCCTACACAGTTATTCTTTAAAAAAAAAACTATTTATTTATTTTTAGAGAAAGGGGAAGGGAGGGAGAGAAACATCAACTGGTTCCCATGCAGGGACTGCATCACAACCCAGGCGTGTGCCCTGACTGGGAATCGAACCAGTGACCTTTCACTTCGTGGGATGATGCCCAACCAACTGGCCGCACCGGTCAGGGTCCTGCACGGTTAGCCTGAGGCTCAGTGAGAAACTACGAAGCGGGCGCTGGGAACAGACATGGGCTGGCCCGCAGTTCTAGAACACATGGGGAGGCCGTGGGTTTGGAGGAAAGCAATCTGCCGTGGGGCCATCGCCCCGTCCTGCCCCTTCTTCAATCGATGGCTGAGAAAAGGCCTCCCACGCGCCCGCCCCAGCTGGCTCCAGGGAAGCATCAAAGCAATCAGATCCCTTGTGCCTGGGAGGACGGGGTGGGAATTAACTCGCCTCCTGGCCCATACGCCTCAATGTCAGAGAAACACCTTGTGTCCAGCACCTGTGTCCTCGGCCGTTTGCTCCCAGAAGCAGAGCAGACCGGCGGGTGTGTGTGGGGAACGTGGAAGTGCTGGGAGGCCCGCACGAAAAGCACACACGGAAATAAGACGGGGAGCACTGCGGCCATGCCGGGAGGGCACCGTGTTGCACACGAGTGAGCACGCCCGGCCCTGCGATGCACACGGTGGGGAAGGAGCTGCTGCTCAGGGGGACCAGGACTCCCGGAACCAGGACGAGCCCCCATCAGCTGGCGAGTGGCTCACTGAGCGCACGGAACGCTCAGTGTGATGGCCATTCTGCATGTCAGTCCCGCAGGGACACTGGGGGAGCCGGCTCTGTGTGGAACTGGTTTTTAGCCAGCTGCCCATTGCACCCTGCTGCCGGCTGCCGCTGTGGGCCAGAGCAGGACGCTCTTGGTTACAACATAACATTCAATGGTTGAGAAGTCCCCAGGAGAAAGAGGAGGTGCTGAGCCAACCTGGGCCTGGGTCACAGAAGACTTCCCGGAGGAGGCGGCTTCTGATGACTCAGGCTGGGGAGTATGCAGGCCAAGAAGGGCCTGGGTGGGAGGCCACTGAGCCAAGGCCTGGGGTACGAGGACGGTGGAGTCATGGGGTGCAGGTGGGGCCCCAGTGGGGAGGTGCAGCATGCATCACCCCATGCTCCTGCACGGCGGGGCCTCGACTCAGCCCTGTGTGAGCACCAGGAGAGGCATACGGTGCCCACTCAGAGGGAGCGTCTAATGAACATGACTCTGCCGTGTCTCAGGAGGACCTGCGGCAGGTGGTCTGGCCTCCCTGGACCTCCCTTTCACACCCCCCAGGTGGGGATGACGGGGCCGAGCCTGCTGTGTTCACACTGCCCTGGCAATCTGGCTCATATGCTTGTGTTGATCTTTGTCCTGCTAAACAACGGTTTATCACCAATACGGACACATTCTCTTCTGAGTCCTGGTTGCCTCCACACCTACTGCAGGAGACCAGGCACAAACGGGCTGAGGTTTGAGACCGGCTCCACCTTGAACTTGCCACATAGCCTTGGACAAGTGGCTCTAGCCCTCTCTGAGCCTTGGTCTCTCTCGCCTGGAAAGCCTGTATAGTGATGCCTTCCTGGGGTGTGGCTGAGAGACCCAAGGGAGAACCCTGCCTAAAGGTCTAGGACGGGGAGGTGCCGACCGGCTGCTGGTTTTCGCATCTGGTTTAAAGAGAGTTTAAAGGAAGATGACATCCTCACTTTCAACATCAACATGCCCTTTAGAGAAAGGACCTCCGGAAGGGGGGTACCTGCTCCCCTCCAAATCTGGAAGGTCCCCAGCAGACTGCGTTCTTATCACCGGGGGCACCAGCCATGGGCGGCCTGTGCCTCATCACACAGGCTGGACGGCTCACACGCTCCTTCCCCCGGAGCCCTGCTTCCGGCCTCTGCTCTCCGGGCCGGACCTGACCTTAACCTGCATTGCCCTGGGGGGAGGGCAGGGGCAAGGGCGGACAGCCCCGCCGCGTCACTAGAAAACTCGTGTGGAAAAGGTAAGGAGACCAGGACTGACCGATTCTTTCTTCTCCAAGTTGCTGTCTTTGTTATCTGCTGGGTCCTTTTTACTCAGCTCCATGGTTTATTTCCCAGGTCTGGGACTGGGCTCTTTGCTTCCTGAGGAAGAGGAAAGAGGAAGACGCTGTTAGGTGGCGTCGGAGACAGGCAACACGTGGGAGGTGGCCCCGCCCCGGCGAGGCGTCCTGGTGACGACCCCACGATGGGGGACCCCTGCTCCCCTGCAGACCCGGGCACCCCTCTGCTCCTCTCTGGCCTCAGGTTCTGTACGGTGCGGTGGGTGATGTGTTTCCCGCACTGGCTGCATGTTTTCTAGAACAGGCCCCTCCCAGAACATTCTCCTACAGACGGCGATTCTTACAGTAGGGCGCACTGAACCCTTGTGAACCCTAGACTTTCTGTCCCCAGGATGGGAGAATAAAAGCTGTGACCAGGAAAACAAAGTGCCACCCTCCCCTGTCAAATTGGAAGCAGCCCCCAGAAATGTCCTCCGAGTCCCTGGCATGACAGACGTGAAAGACCGTGCAGTGCTCCTGGGGCTGGGAAATATGTTTCTAGAGCCACAAAACTATGTAGGCCCTTCGGCCAACTAGGCCATTTATAGAAATTTATCCTAAAACAGTAAAAAATGTGCACCAAGACTGCAGCCAGAAATGACCATTGAAGCGTTTTTTCATGTTAGAAAAAATGGTATTCACGACGGGCAAAAAATATCTCGGAGCAAAGTTTAAGTAAATCATGGCACATCCCTTGGGTGAAAATGCACACGGCACTCAGAACCTCCCATCCGAGCTCGTCTCAGGTCGTGGGGAAACCCGCCCGGTCCTTCTCGCTGTACAAGAGGAGGGCCGGCTCCTCAGAGTCCGTGTCCCTCTCTTTCCACCGCTGCCCCTCCCTCTCCTCCTCTCCGTCTCTGCCTCCAGGTCCATCCATCTCCATGTCTGTCCCTCCCCATACGTATCACCACATCTCACACACAGATACAGGTCCCTTTGGTTCTGTTCTTCTGGAGACCCTGACGGACACGCCCCTCGCCCTGGGACCGCAGCTGACCGAGCCCTGTGTGCACACAGTCTGGTATTGGCCTGGCCCAAGAGCAGCCCAGGGAACAGACTGGGTGGGCTGGGGTGGGAGGGAGGGCAGAGGGCACCCCCATCCAGGGGCTGCCTTCCCATTGGACCTTCTGTGAGTGGCTGCCGCCACATAACCCCAGGGAAGGCCATTCGCCCAGACGGCACTGTAAATGCCCCCCTGGAGTTACGCCTCCTGGTGGCCCTGCAGGTGTCTGAGTTCTGTTTCCTGGTCAGCCGGTGGAAGGTGGTCACCATTCGCTCATGTCAGATGAGGGTAACTGAGACAGCAAGCCTTGCGAGAGGGACCTTGGTGTCCGATTACTGGTACCCCTCACTCAGGTGATGGGAGGGGACATGCAGAAAGTTACAGGTGTGGTGATGGCAGAAAATGAAGGGTTCTGTCTAAAAAGTGAGCTCGAGGTGTTTGTGTGGCATCAAGTGCAAATATCACGGGGGCAGCCGGAAACGAGAGCGGCGCTGGGGCCGGGTCTGGGCCGGAGCGGGGCGGGGTGGGGGCCGGGCCAGGCCACCTGGGAGAGTGTGGGCAGAGAGGGTCCTTTGGACCTCCACCCTGGGAACAGCAGGGGGTGGGGGGGAACGGCGGAGGAACTCAGTGGAGGAACAGTGGAGACTGAGGAACTCAGTCTCCTGGGAGTGTGAGGTGTTAGCGACGGCAAGACAAAAATACCCCTAATACATAAGGAACTCACAGAACTGACCCTCGGATGAGAGGTGTGCCCTTGGCCAGGCTGGGGGCAGGCTGGTGCTTTCTCCCCAGAAAACATGTTCCCAAAGGGGAATGTGCTGGGCACCGGGAGGATGTGTGGGTGGTGGGCTGTGCTTCCTTTGGGGTCACGGTCACCTCTGAACTCCCGTTCCCAGGCCAGCAAAGAAAAGGACGAGGTGGCTAAGTCCATGAGGACCCACTTCCCAGGGGAGCCGTGTGCGGTCCAGGTCTCAGACTGTGCACCTCGCCCTGCAGAGACCAGCTCAGAGCTGAGAATGGCCTCACCATCCCTGAGATGTTGGGTCGCGTTGGGGGTGGGGGGGGAGCTGCCTGCCCACGTGGCGCAAAGCCGAGGCAGTGTGGAGCCAGGGGTCAACTCCCAGCTCTACTGCTCACTAGCTGCGTGGCTTGGGGAAAGTTACTTAACCTCTCTGCTTCTTTAGGTCTCGTGGGGGATAGTACCAGGGTCTGCCTCATAGGGCTATTGTGAGGGTTAAACGAGTTGAGGCTAAGCGATCACAAACTATTGTCATTGTCACCAGATTCCCAGCCCATGGCCTCTATGGAGCACAGATTGGGCACTTCTTGTTTGCATAGAACAGATGATGTCTTAGAACCAGTTAAGAAAAAAGGAGGGGAAACTATTTTATGATTGACTAGAGAACCAACCCTACACTGCCTCTAAATTATTCTCTAAGGTTCAAATAGAAAAGTAACATAACACAACACAGCATAACATAACATAACATAACATAACATAACATAACATAACACAACACAACATAACACAACATAACATAACACAACACAACACAACATAAATACAAGCTCTGTGAACGAGGTTCTACAAACACTAGGTTCCTGTCTTTGGTCCCCAGCAACAGTTCTAACATCACTGCTGTTCAGACCGAATACCGTGCCTGCATCTGCCCGTGAGGCCAGGCCAGGCCTAACAGGTACAAGCACTGTGGCTCTCACTGGTGACTGCCCACGTTTTGAGCCCCCTGGGTGCCCACCTTCCCAATCAGGGCCTCTGCTCCCGACAATTCGATTGGCCACCACCTAGGCTGTCGCTGGGGTTAAATACTAGGGGAACAACCTCTGCTTCTTCTCTTGCTGCTTCTCCCAATAATACAACCATCATGGGCACCATATGTCTGACGCCACAGCTGCTGGGTTAGAAATAAAGCAAGTTCGAAGTGACTTTACCCGCCCAGCCCGCCCCAGAGCTCGGGTCCGACAATTTGAAGTCAGACCCTTGTTAATTGGCCTGTGTCAGGTGATGGGATGAAGGCAGAGCACAGGCTCTACTCACACCAGCACAGTGCAGCAGGGCGGTCGGTGGACGGCAAGGGAAGGGCCTTGTTCTCCCAGTGCTGGTGCGCCAGCTGGAGGCCACGTCCCCGAGGGCCCGGAGCTCTGTCCTGAGCAAAGCCCTGTGGTTCCAGAGCTGTTGGCTGCCAGCTCTGAGCGGGTGATGCCACCAGCTCCCTGGCCCCTGAGTTCCCTGTCTGATTAATGCTTGAATGTGACTTAATTTTTAGGACTAAGTCTCTGCTGAGTTTGACAGATAAGCCTAAATCAAAATATTGGAAAGGAATGTGAAAAACAGAGCAGGAGAGAGAGAGAGAGAAGGAAGGGAGGGAGGGAGGGAGGGAGGGAGGGAGGGAGGGAGGGAGGGAGGGAGGAACAAGGTTCCCGGACCCGGCCACCAGCCCGTGGAAGAACAGCTGTCATTGCTCACGATCGATGTCGTTTTCAAGCTGACATCTGTGAGACACCACGCTAAGCCCTTTCTGTGCATTTTCCCACTCCCTCTTTGCCAAGTTGATTTTAAATCCCCTCGGTTTTCAAGTCCCTTGTTCCTGCTGTAGGAGTTGTCGGAGATTCTCGAAACCATCCCGAAGCCGAGCCCAGTCTGCGAGCCTGGCTCACCTGTTTCCGGGAGCTCCCCTCACCTGTCCCCGACAAAGGAAGACACGGAACGTGCTTCGCAGAGAGATCGGCTTCTAATAAAATCAGATATAAACCCGGGAAATTGTAAAACACCCTCAGTGCTTACGTGGCCTCCAGGACAGCCGTCCCTATAAACACTCTACGATGCCTATCTTGACGAGCAATAAGTGATTGCTCGTCATGCCATGCTCAGCATGTTAACAAACATGCCCAGTTCGGGTCAGCAAATTCCGGACCAGGAGTTGAAGGCAGAGGTATCCCCTGCAAAGCCCCTGCTGACAGAGAAGTTGACCTTCCTGGGGTTCGGACCCCTTCTTGCTAACACGAGGCTGTGCCCAGCCTGGGGCCCACCTGCCCGGGCTGTGGTGAGGGTCAGGTGAAATGACATGCAAGCTCATAAAACAGGACACAGATGAATGCAGGCTCATCGAGCCCTCGGCCCAAAGGACCAGGATGAGGGGCTAGTTCTTGCTACCCTGTCGATGCAGGAGCAAAATCAGCCCGTGGAGAAACACATGAAGTCGTGTCTCATCACTGTAGTCGAAAGCGATGCACACAGGCCAGTCCCACTGCCCCTTCAGAACCCCGGGAGAAACAGGGGCCTGGAGTGGCAGAGAAGATGGAAGGGACCCCGAATGTGCCTGTGTAGCCGGGGCAAGTCCAAGTTCAGCCAAGGGCACCAGGAGAGAGGTGAAGGCATGGGGAGTGAAGGATGGCCCTGGGGTGGAGCCAAGAAAGGTGGGTGGCTGGGAGTCCCCCACTCTGGGAGAAGAGCGCTGTGTCTGGCTTCTGCACATCCTCAGGCCCTGGAAGACGGGCCATGTTTGGGGACACGGAAGAGTCCATCGGGCTCCCTGACCATCGACTGAGCAGCCGGGCAGCCTTCTCAGCACTAACCCTGTTTCCCCTGAACCTTGATGTCAGACCAGCGGGTGCCAGGTACGGGTCTCCCCAAGATGTCCTTATCAACCGCCCTCTGATGTTGGACAAGTGCACAGTAGAAAGATGACGTTTCTGTGCCCAGGTGGTTTTGGTTGTGCTTAGGAAATGCAAACACACCAAGTTGGAGGTCAACTCCGAGCAGTGGCATTGCTCTCCAGGCTTTTCACACGGACCAGCTGGCACCCCGCCCCCTCTCCCCACCTCTCAAAGTCTTATCAGCACCCCGAGCACGGCCTGGCCTCTCCGACTGCGTCTTAAACCTGCCTCGTTTCCTAGCTTCTGTGTAGCTGCCTAGCCCTGAATGTAGATACAGTAAAGCATTAAAGAGAGAAATTCTGCTTGCTGCTTAATAAGTACACAAACAAAACAAAACAAAGAAAGAAACAAACAAACAAAAAACC